TACACCACCTTGGCTTTCACATAAAATTCTGGAGACAGAATTCATGATCATTTTAATGCTCCAAGGACTCAGGAATTGTCCTCTGTGCCTCTAAGACACACATGTACAGGTGTGCCCATGTACACACCCATGCACATGTGTGTGATGCCTGCATGATTATGCCCACGTGCACTCTGGCACATACAGAAGAATGCACACGCATGCACATAATCTCAGTCACTCATGCACACACATACACTGGTGACAGTCCCGTTGAAAACACCACCCAAAACCCTGATCTTGGAGAGTAAGCAGACTGTCACCCCATTCCTTTCATACAGAGTTAATGGAATTTAGCTCTTTAAAAAAGCCTTTCTTTTTCTTTTAATCAATGAGGTCAATTTTTTAGACACTATGATGATACTTATTATTTACCATTGGATAAATGGAAAAATCCATTATTTATCATTGGAAAAGACCCTGATGCTGGGAAAGATTGAGGGCAGGAGGAAAAGGGGATGACAGAGGATGAGATGGTTGGATGGCATCACTGACTCAATGGAGATGAGTTTGAGTAGACTCTGGGAGTTGGTGATGGACAGGAAAGCCTGGCGTGCTGCAGTCCATGGGATCATAGAAAGTCAGACACAACTGAGCGACTGAACTGAACTGATTCACAGCTGCACTGTGTAGTATCCTGGATTACATTTCCTTTTTATTTGTTTAGTTTGATAAACATTTGTCATTACTCTCCCCCAAATTCTCTACTCTAGAGTAAATCTCTGCTCAGTACATTCAAACCTAACAGGTATTCCATCAGTTGTGTTGTCTAAGCAATATCTTTCCTGTGTATTCTGAACCTCTGCTTGCCCTCTACTTGTTTTCTGGGTTTACAGAGTCACAGGTGAACAGGAATTTTGCCCAAGGATGGACAGGAAACTTAGTAACACCCATAACTGACTTAGAAGATATTTAGATAACATTTGAGTCTTAGAGTTGGTGCTGGAAAGGGTTAAAACTTTGAATGTTGGGATTGGGTGAATATATTTTATACATGGGAAAGATATGAATTTGAGAGGCCACAAGGTGAACTGTAGGCTTCCCTGGTAGCTCAGCTGGTAAAGAATCTGCCTACAGTGCAGGAGACCTGGGTTTGATCCCAGGGTTGGGAAGATCCCCTGGAGAAGGGAAAGACTACTCACTCCATTATTCTGGTCTGGAAAATTCCATGGACTCTATAGTCCGTGGGGTCGCAAAGAGTCAGAACCAACTGAGCAACTTTCACCATCAGTGTGAATTGTTTTATGTTGAACAGTGTCCCTCAAAAGGTTTTTTAGACTCCTTATATCCAGGACCTGAAAGTAGATTATTTGGAATTAAGGTGTCTAAATGACATAATTAAGTTAAGATGAGGTCATTATAGTGAGCCCCAATCAAATGTGATTTATGTCCTTGTAAGAAGAAGAAAATAACCAACTAAAGACACACAGGGAGAATATTTTGTGACCAGAGAGGTGGAGATTAGAATGATGCAGATCCAAGCTAAAATATACCAAGGATTGATGACCACTGCCAGAAGCTACTATACAAAGCAGCAAAGGAAATTGTACCAGTTCTCTGAGAGAGCATGCTACACAGCTGTGGTCCTGCCATCCCCCTTGCTGTCATCCTGGCCAGATCCTTTGCCTCTATTTCCAGTTAGATACTGTCTTCTACAGCCCATGCTGTCCTCTCTCTTGGGTTACTCTCTTTTTGTAGGGGACTGTCTTTTCAAGTTGCCTCCTGAGTTAACATAAATGGCAGGGAACTTTTTGAGATGATGGATGTTTGAAAATACCTTAATTCTATACTTTTAACTGCCAGTTTGGCTTTATATAAGATGCTAAGTTAAAAAGTATTTTCCTTCGACATTTTGAAGCCATTCCTCAATAGTCTTCTAGCTTTCCAGATTGTCCTTGAGAAGAAAAAAAAAACAATGAAATTCTGATTCCTGATCAGTTGAGTCTGTGTTTTTTCTTCTCTCTGTAAGGTCTTTAAGATTTTCTTTTTGTTCCGGTGTTCTCGATTTCCTGTTGATAAGACTTGATGTGTGGTTCTATTCCTAATATTGCACCAGGGAGCCCAGTATAATCCAGAATCTCTGATCATTACATTCTGGGAAATATTATACAGTCATCACTCTAATAATCACCTCCCCTCCCTTTTCTTTAGTCTTTCTTTCTGAAACTCCTGTTGTTCTGATATTGGACTCCTAGACTGAACTTCCAGTTTCCTTATCCTTTCCTTCCAAGTTTCCAACAGCTTTTCTTCTTATTCTGGAAATATGTCTCTGCTTTCATCGAATTTTTCTATCGAGTCTTCTGTATCTGTTGTTATAATATTAATATCATAAGGTTATATTTATAATTACAAATTACATTTATAAAACATACTCTTCACATTCCCTGGTACCGTATCTTCTCTTATCTCTATGAGGATACTAAAGTCCTTTGAAGTCTTCTCCCTGAAAACTCCTTTCCCCAGGTTTTAACTATTCTTTTGTTGGGGAGTAGTCTTCATTTTTCATATTGAAGAATAGCATCTAGTGATATTTGCCTCTTTGTTTATATTCATAATGAGATACTAAAAAAATATGATAGGAAGTACTACATAAAGTCAAAGAGGGGGAAGTTCTCAATAACCTGACCTTGTTGGTGGGTGATTTGGCTGGGGGTTGGGGGGGGGCGGTTCTTGAAAGACCCATGAATGTTGATGTATTAATTCTATATTCTTGTGCCATTTAGAGTCTCTAGGGAAGAAAGTCTGATCTCTCATCTTCCAAGACATAACTTGTCAGGGTTTTAGGAGCTGAAGAATGATGGAGGGAAGGAGTTTCAGATTTCTTACCACCCAGTGTCTAGATCTGCACTGTCCAATGTGGTAGCCGCTAGTGTCACATGTAGCTTCTGAGTACTTAGCAATTTTTATATTGATGTTAAATAAAATATATAGTTTAATTTTACCTTAACTTTTAAAATATGACTACTATAAATTTTTAAATTACTCACATGGCTCACATTTGTGGCTCACCTTATATTTCTATTAGACCATGCCAATTCAACTTTTACAGAATTCTCTTTCATCTGTGGTACAGCTCTCCCTCAGTGGTGCCCAGGGTCCCTCCCCTTAAAAATCCACAGGGTCAGCTTCTATAGTAATAATCCTCCTTTCTTCTGCTGATGTGAGAGATGGGCAGTCCCCTGGCTGCTCAGAATGGTTGAGGCTTCTTAAAAGACATTAATCTTCCTGTTTTCATTGCCACTTTCACTCCACTTTCAGAGGTACCTAACTCTGCCGTTTCCTGAGTCTTTCTGTGTTTCTGCTCACAAAGCTCCTTCTGGTCTCTCTTAAAACTAATCTTGGAATTTGACTTTCCATGTCCTGCTAAATCAGTTACCATTTATTCTTCTGCTTTCTAGCCTCCACAGTGTTTCTTTTGTCTCATCTTCCTTGGGCTTCAACTTTGTGATATTAAAACTCGAATTTGACTGTTCCTTTAGTGAGGGATTAGGAAGTGCATGTGTTTAATCTTTCATTTTTAACTGGAAGTTCATTTCAGATTTTATTTTGTTTTAGCCCTGTCCTCCCCACTCCACAGAAACTTAACTTTTATTTCTTTTTAAAAAATACTTATTTATTTATTTGGCTGCTCCAGGTCTTTGTTGCGGCATGTGAACTCTTAGCTGCGGCATGTGGAATCGAATTCCCTGACTAGGGATCGAACCCAGGCCCCCTGCGTTGGGAGCCTGGAGTCTTAGCCACTGAACCACCAGGGAAGTCCTGAAGCTTCAGTTTTCAAGGTCACATGTAATTGTCCTGCCAAACCTAATGAACACTTCTTTGTTCATCTTCCTTGACCTTTTCATCACAAAGCTGATCACTTCCCCACAAAACACTGTTCACTCCTGGTTTCCAAGGCTCCACACTGGGCTCCTCCCCAGTGCTCCGTCTGCAGTTTTGTTGAGTCCTCCCCTATTTACTGTTTAAATATTGAAGTGCCTCAAGCCTCAGTCTTGAATTGTCTTCTCTCCTCTGTAAACATTCTTTTAATGACTTTATCTGCTACAATTTGTCTAATCCTGATGACTCATAAAAGTTTATCTTCCAAATTATCTCTATCTTGAGTTCTGCATTAGTGAATTTCTGATAGGCATCTTAAATATTTAGTGTCCCACATGAAGCAAATAATTTTCCCACCTAAGCATGCTTCTCCCCTCATCCATCTCAGAAAATGTCAGCGTCAAGCCAAAAGGCTGAGAGTCATTCCTTACTTCGGCTTTTCCTTTGTCCCACATATCTGATCCATCATCGAGTTTTGAGGGTTTACTTCAAATTACCTCTGGGTATTCACCATCTCCACTGCTGCTACTTTAATCCAATTACCATCCTCCCCATCTACTGTAATATCATCAGCCTATTTCACTTTCTCTCCACTCTAATCCATTCTCTCCATATCAGGTGTTCCATCAATTGCTTCTTAAACACACATCTCTGAACTCCAGAATCCTCTGTAAAAATCTTAATCATACTTTAAAGAAAAGTCTTAGCTTTCTTATTTGTTTTGTTTTTCTGTGAATGTAGTAGGTCTCCATTTTTAATGAAAAAATTAATAAGAAAAATATTAATACATAATAATAGGTAAAAGCCAAAGTTTTTAAATTTATTGAAGTATAGTTGATTTGCAATGTTGTGGCCAAATTTTTTAAAGGAAAAGAAAGAAATTGTATAAAACCTTATCAAATATTGATTGAGAACCACCTACACATTCATCAAAAATAGAAGTTTGTTTGTTTGTTTGTTTTTCTAATTTAAAATCTGAAAGGAATTTGCCCAAAAAAAGTAAAGTAATGGATAGGACCCCACATAGCAAAATGTTTTAAATGTAAAAATATTTACCATGTCAGGACTTCCCTGGCAGTCCAACAGTTAAGACTCCATCCTTCTACTGCAGGGGAGCATGGGTTTGAGCCCTGGTCAGGGAACTAAGATCCCCACATCTGCACTGTGCAGCCTAAAAAAAAAGAGAAAGAAAACAAATTTACCACATATGTGTTTCTTGTATTGGCTCTCAGGGAACAGTTGTTAAAATTTAAATGCCATTTCATAAAGACATATAGGGGATTAGATTGGGGAGTAAATGTATTATTTTAGTTATACTACCAGTATGCAATTGACAGCAAAAGTAAAATAGTCCTTGTAAATAGGCATGCAATTCCATGCCTTCAGATCATCCAAACAGTGGAGAATAGAAAGCTGCCTCCACCAAATTGATATGGACAAGAAAAAACAACAAAACCCCACAACTGTCTAATTTCTTTCCCTCTGGACATATTTCTTTATGTTGATTGGCATAAGGAAAAGGCAGCTGCCCACAGGGCCCCTCTGTTTGTGGCTGCAATTGCAGTGCTGAGGATAAGATGTTTTGGAAAGGATCAGGGATAGAAGTTGTGTGGAAACAGTAAGAAGACCACTCACAGTATGTCTCTGCACCACACCGTGCTGTAGTGGAGAGCATTGTGTGGAGTGTGAAATGTGACATTTAGAGTCAAAAGACTGGTGTAAACCCTTGTACCAGAACTTAGGAACTCTATACTCTTAGACAAGTCTCTTATTCTCTCTTGGCCACAAATGATACTCAAAAATGCAGCTTTTAATATTTTGAAATGGGAAAATAATCATACCATTTTATTTGAGGTTTTTATAATAAAATGAGATGATTTATCTGAAGGGGTGTGTGTGTGTGTTAAGTCGCTTCAGTCGTGTCTGACTCTTTGCAACCCTATGGACTGTAGCCCACCAGGCTCCTCTTTTCATGGACTTCTCCAGGTAAAAATACAGGAGTAGATTGTCATACCCTCCTCCAGGCAATCTTCCCAACCCAGGGATCGAACCCAGGTCTCCCATACTGCAGGCGGATTCTTTACCATCAGGAAAGCCCCAAAACACTGGAGAGGGTAGCCTATCCCTTTTCCAGGGGATCTTCCTGACCCAGGAATTGATCCAGGGTCTCCTGCATTGCAGGTGGATTCTTCACCAGCTGAGCTACCAGAGAAGCTTAAAATGAGGGTATGGAAAGTGTTAAATGACTCCTAGACTTTATTATCTCCCAGCATTAATGAAAAAGACTTGAACAAATACCTCTGTGCTTGGAGCCTAGGATTTGGTTTTCTTACAAGAGTTACTAAAATGCTCCTGGAAATATCTGCCGTCTCTGCTCTCACTTGACCAGCATCATGGAAATACGGGGAGAAAGAGGAGGAAGCAGAGAAAGGCCCTAGCCGGAGGCCCTGCTCTTGGGGAGAAAAAGACAAAACAAGGCATTCGTTTTGATTTTCAGGTTCTTCAAGAAGCCGATCAGCAATACAGGTGTATTGATTCTTATTACCATACACAAGACAACTCTTTACTGTTGGTCTTTCATAACCCAATGAATCTACAGCGTCTGCGTCATGAACACTGGAACGCTGGCCTTCACTCCAATGTTGGATTCAGGTAACCAACCTAGATGGTCTAGTTTGTTATCTTAGTTAGCGTGTTACTTGGTTTTTAGTTCCTTAGCCTAAGCTGAGTGGTTCAACCCAATAAAAACATTTGTGCGGTACCACAGATTCAGTGGTCACCAAGTTGAATGCTGTGTGCCAGGCACTGAAGAAGACAGACGTCATTCCTGGCCCCACTGAATCTCGTGGGGATATTATTAAATTATGCTTGATTCATTTAGACTCCAATATAACAGCCTCTGTAGGAACTACAAAACATGGCATTCCATATGCAGGTTTTGGGTAACTCCACTTGACCTAGGGTAACTGAACGACACATGCCCTCGGGTCCCCAGCAAACTGAGACCTCTAGGAATCACTTATTTTTTTTCTTTCCAAGCTCCTTAATTATTTCAATTCTATCTTAAAATTGTTCTCCCCTTTCTCATTAGTGATGAGAACTTTCATTATTTTTCTGTACTGGTTAATGTATATTCAGTATTTGTTATTTAATAGAATTTAGTCCTAAGGGATACAGAGAGGATGACCATGGACCTATAGAAAATTGGAGAAATGGACTGTGTGCATACATATACACAGAAACACACACTTTAAAGTCATAAGATGATTTTTTAAAATTAGGATACACAATAGGTATGCCAAGCTAATGTATTAAACTGTGCTTTCCTTTGTTTTGTTTTTCATTGACAGTAATTATGCTTTTCATTTCTTTGTTGACTAAGACTTCAGTACAACTTTGAGAACATTGTTGTCTTATTCTAGGTTTTGAATATTCATCTATTAAGTATTTTTTTGTTTTTTTTCCATAGGTAAATGCTCCTTATTAGGTTAGAAAATTTTCTTATGTTGCTAGTTTGCTCTAGGTGCTTAATTATAAATGACTATTAAATAATATCAAATGATTTTTCTGCTTGTGTTCTCTTTTTTCCTTTAATCTGTTAAAGCGTGAAATTTTATTAATAGATATTCTAATTCCTGTGAAAATCCGATTTGTCCATTATGTTATCTTGTTTATATATTGCTGTATTTGGTTTGCTAATATATTACTTAGAATATGTCCATCTGTATTCATGGGTAAGACTCAGCTATAGTTTTTCCCATCTTTAAATGTTCTTGTCCAGCTTGAGATGGAGATTTTTATTAGCCTTATAAATTAATGGCAGATATTCTCCCTTTTTATCTCTATTTTTTTATTTTCTAAAAGAATTTATGTAAGACTAAGATATATATTCCTTTGTCATTTGGTAAAACTGGCAAATAAGAACATCTGGACCTGGGAAGATGTTTAATTACTGATTTAACCTCTGTCATGATTATTAGACTTTTGGGGTTTACTATGTATTTTTGAACTAGATTTGATAATATGTATTTCTCTAGGAATTTGACCATTTTACCTGTTTCCAAAATTATTGCATAAAGTGGATTACAATATGCTCTTACCTTTTTGTGTTACACGTATCTGTTTTAATTCCTATTGCTTTTAATCTGTGATTTCCCTCTTTATCTGGGCCAGTCTTGCCAAAGGTTTGCCAATTTTGTTAATTTTTTTTAAAAGCAATTATTGCATTTGATCCTTTTCTCCTTTTTATTTTTCAAAATTATGCTCTCATCTTTATTATTTTTTATTTTCTCTCAGTTTCTTTGGATTATTCCAATGTCCTTTAACTTTTCAACTGAGAATTTTATCTCAGGATTTTGAGTTATTTTTGTTGCTTTACAAGTATTTTAAGGCAAAAATTTATTTTTAAATACCACCTTAGCACTACAAAATATCTGATTGATGGAATTTTATTATCATTCATTTTTTTGAACACATAATTTTTTTATTGAGTTATAGCTGATTTACTATTATATTAGTTTCAGGTGTACAGCATTGTGATTCAATATTTTCACAGATTATACTCCATTTAAAGTATTGTAAAATATTGGCTACATTTCCCTGGGGCATACAGTGTATCCCTGGAGTTTATTTTATACCTAGTAGTTTGTGCCTCTTTACCCCTAGTCTTATCTTGCCTCTTTCCCCTTCTCTCTCCTAACTGGTAGCCACTAGTTTGTTCTCTGTGTCTGCAAATCTGTTTTGGTTTTGTTATATTCATTCATTTGTTTTATTTTTTAAATTCCACATGTTGGTGATAACAAACAGTATTTGTCTTTCTCTGTATGACCTATTTAACTAAACATAGTAGGTCCATCCATGTTGCTGCAAATGGCATAAGTCCATTCTCTTTTATGGCTGAGTAGGAGGAGCCTGGTAGGCTGCAGTCCATGGGGTCGCTAAGTCGGACACAACTGAATGACTTCACTTTCATTTTTCACTTTCATGCATTGGAGAAGGAAATGGCAACCCACTCCAGTATTCTTGCCTGGAGAATCCCAGGGATGGGGGAGCCTGGTGGGCTGCCGTCTATGGGATCTCACAGAGTCAGACACGACTGAAGTGACTTAGCAGCAGCAGCAGTGTTCCATTATGTATATGTACCACATCTTTATCTATTCATCTGTTGATAGACACTTAGGTTGCTTTCGTATCTTGGCTGTTTTGAACAATGCTGCTATATCATTCATTTCTCATTTCTATAATTCTTATTTGACCCATGGATTGCATAGAAATGTGAGTTTTTATTTTAAACATCTGGCTGAGTTACATTTTTATTATAGTTTATAGTTTCCAAAGTAGTAGTCAGACAACATGTTCTATAGAATACTGANCCAGTCAAACCTAAAGGAAATCAGTCCTGAATATTCATTGGAAGGACAGATGCTGAAGCTGAAACTCCAATACTTTGGCCATCTGATGCAAAGAACTGATTCCTTAGAAAAGACCCTGATGCTAGGATTGAAGATTGAAGGCGGGAGGAGAAGGGGACGACAGAAGATGAGATGGTTGGATGGCATCACCAACTTGTACATGAGTTTGAGCAAGCTCAGGGAGTTGGTGATGGACAGGGAAGCCTGGTGTGCTACAGTTGTGGGGTCACAAAGAGTCAGACACGACTAACTGACTGAACTGATATTAAGATTATGTTAATAAGCAAAACAAGAATTGAGTTGTTTTCCTGGTTAAGCTTTTATCAATATTCAATGTCTTTATCTCTAGGATTGCTCTTTACTTTCAAGGTTATATTGTCCAATATTGATATATCTGTACAGACTTTATCACATGTATCTTGTCTGATACTGATAAACTTTATAAGTCTCTTTTATATTTTATCTTGTATATCCTTTTCTATCCACTTACCTCTTGCAAAATATATATATAGCCAAATTTTAAAAATTCATCTGACAATATTAACCTCTTGAGAACCTAGTTCATATACTTGGATTAATTTCAACCATTTAATTTTGTCCTTTTATTTGCCCTTTTATTCAGTTTCTTTGTTTCTCCTTAGTTTGAATTAATTTCATTTTTATTACTACTACGAGAATGACAGTTATATACTATATCTCAACTCATTCTTCAGAAGTTGTGATATACACTTTTAAATTTACAAAGTCATCAGCACGTTATGTTGTTCAGTCACTCAGTCATGTCTGACTCTGTGATCCCACGGGTTGCAGCGCTCTAAGCTTCTCCGTCCTTCAGTGTCTCCTGGAGTTTGCTCAAATTCATGTCCACTGAGTCAGTGATGCTGTCTAACCTTCTCATCCTCTGCTGCCCACTTCTCCTTTTGTCTTCAATCTTTCCCAGCATTGGGGTCTTTCCAATGAGTCGGGTCTTCACATCAAGTGGCCAACTATTGGAGTTTAAACATCAGTCCTTGAAATGAATATTCAGGATTGATTTCCTTTAGGATCAACTGCTTTCATCTCCTGCAGAAGACCATGCCTTTACCTTCCTACCAAATAATACAAGCACAATAGAGTGTTTTAATTTCTTATCCCCAGTCCACATTTTCTATTATTATAGAGCACTTTAATTCTTTCTTAATGTTTTTACCCCACAACATAATAACATTATTGTTTTCATATCCAGTGTTTATAAATTAATATATGCCTACTATTTTATTTTCCCTTCTTCCTAAGAGCTTTAAAAGTCCATATAGTGAGGATCTTTGATAGTATAATAAGTTTTGTTTATTGCAAGTATCTTCATTTTAGCCTTGTTCATGAAAGATAATTTTGCTAAGGATATAGTTCTTGATTGACGTAAATTCTAAGCACTTTAAAGAAAATTATCCCATTGTCTTCTGAATGCCTTTGAAGTTATTAAGATGTAAACATCATTCTTAATAAGAAATGTTACAAGCATGCTCTATAAAATTAGAAACAAAATAGAGGTAACTACCATGACCAATTCTAAGCAACATTTAATGAAGATCTAAATCAGAAAAATTACTAAAAGTATCTTTAAAGTATAGGAATCCAAAAGGAAACTGTCATTATTGGCAGCTGAGGTTATTAGCTACACAGGAAAATCCCAAATAATCTATCTAAAAATGTGAATTAATGGGAGAAATTACCTGATGATCAGCCCCGAAAATTCATTCAGCAACCCTGATGCTGAAGCTCCAGCACTTTGGTCTCCTGATGCAAACAGCCGATTCCTTAGAAAAGACCCTGATGCTGGGAAAGATTGAAGGCAAAAGGAGAAGGGAGCAGCAGAGGATGAGATGGTTGGATGGCATCACGGACTCAATGGACATGAATTTGAGCAAACTCCGGGAGATAGTGGAGGGCAGAGGAACCTGGCATGCTGCAGCATGACCCCATGTCAGTCCATGGGGTCACAAAGAGTTGGACACAACTTAGCAACTGGATAACAACAGCAGCATATCCTCTAACTGCATTTTTTTGCACTACAAGCAATTGTTAGAAAATGTGATGTTTAAAAAAGGAAAAAATACCATTGACAACAGAAACAAAAACTAGAATACCCACAAAAGTCAAACCTAGGGTTGGTTGTTTACACCCACACTTTGACCAAAGAAAATCATTCTTTTTCCATTCCCCTCCCAAGTGAAAATGTTAGATATACTTGGCTTCAGATATTACAAATTAAATAATAAAACCCAACATATTGATTTTTACATACATTTTATAACAACAAATAGATACATTTTATTTGCAATTTTTCTCTTTCAGTAACCTATTTTATGACATGTTCTGTAATTTACTTCTCCAGTGATGTTTATATTATTCTCCCAAATGTGTAAAATATATCATTGAGAGATGTATCAGTGTTACACNTTTATTTGTAATTTTTCTCTTTCAATAACCTATTTTATGACATGTTCTGTAATTTACTTCTCCAGTGATGTTTATATTATTCTCCCAAATGTGTAAAATATATCATTGAGAGATGTATCAGTGTTACACTAACCTTATGGATAACACTGAAAATTATGTGTATTTTTTATGACCTGATTCTCCAAGATAATTGTGGATTCAAGTTAACAACCAGAATCACATGGTAAGTAGAATTTAATGCAATTCTGTGTTTACTTAGCTTTCTCAAGAACCCAGGGCAGGAGATACAGCATGACCCCATCTTCATCTCATCAGGGGGCTCAGCAGCTACCCCAAGGCACCACTCCTTTTGCTTCCCTCCCCCACACGGGTTGCATGTACCTGCTGAAATGAGCATCAAGGTACCATGTCGCCCCCCTTCACCTGAGAAGCCACAGCCTACACTCCACTCCCATTTGTCTCATTAAGGTGTGAGCCCACAGTTCTGAGGATTCACAGCCACCAGGGAAGTCTATGAACAACCTAGACTGCATATTAAAAAGCAAAGACACTACTTTGCTGAAAAAGGTACATATAGTCAAAGCTATGGTTTTTTCCAGTAGTCATGTATGGATGGAGAGTTGGACCATAAAGAAAGCTGAATGCTGAAGAATCAATGCTTTTGAACTGTGGTGTTGGAGAGGACTCTTGAGAGTCCCTTGAACTGCAAGATTAAGCCAGTCAGTCCTAAAGGAAATCAGTCCTGAATATTCATTGAAAGGACTGATGCTGAAGCTGAAATTCTAACACTTTGGCCACCTGATTCAAAGAACTGACTCATTAGAAAAGACCCTGATGCAGGCAAAGATTGAAGGCAGGAGGAGAAGGGGACACAGGATGAGATGGTTGGATGGCATCACCAACTCAATGGACATGAATTTGGGTAAACTCTGAGAGTTGATGATGGACAGGGAGGCCTGGCGTGNAGCATTTCGTATGATGTACTCTGTATGTAAGTTAAATATGCAGGATGACAATATATAACCTTTACATACTCCTTTCCTGATTTGGAATCGGTCTGTTGTTCCATGTTCGGTTCTAACTGACCTGCATACAGATTTCTCAAGAGGCAGGTCAGATGGTCTAGTATTCCCATCTCTTTAAGAATTTTCTACAGTTGTTGTGATCCACACAGTCAACGGTTTTGGCATAGTCAATAAAGCAGAAGTAGATGTTTTTCTGGAACTCTCTCACTTTTTCAGCGATTCAGCTGATGTTGACAATTTGATCTCTGGTTCCCATACCTTTTCTAAATCCACCTTGAACATCTCAAAGTTCACAGTTCATGTACTGATGAAGCCTGGCTTGGAGAATTTTGAGCATTACTTTGCTAGCATGTAAGATGAGTGCAATTGTGTGGTAGTTTGAGCATTCTTTGGTATTGCCTTTCTTTGGGATTGGAATGAAAACTGACTTTTTCCAGGTCAGTAAGATGCTGACATATACATAAATGCACAAGCAGCGTAGGGTATAGTATTTAGGATGTAGGTATTCACAAGTCTGATAAGTTTATAGCAAGACTACAGTGTTTCAATTAATCCAGTGAGTCAGTTAGCTGGTGGTCAATTCAGATGGTATCTATTGTGCTATAAAATTGCCCTATAAAGACATTTTACCATATTACTCTGTAATTAACAGTGCTAAGAATGACTTGTTTCTCCAAATTGTCATCAACTTTGGTATTATCAAACATTAATCTTTGGTTTGGATGGAAATATCTAATTTTTAATTTTGTAGGTCTTTAATCATGAAAGAAGTTGAAAATTTTTCATATGTTCATTGAATATTTATAGAGACTACTTTGTACAAAATATATTCTATCATATATCTTATATTACGTTTGTTACATGGGCAGTTTAGAATCAGTTAATTTTTGAAAAGTTCATTTGCACAATCAGTATCTTATGCACTTGTTGACTTTGAAGTGAAGTATCAGTTGCTCAGTCATGTCTGACTCTTTGCAACCCCATGGACTGTAGCCCACCAGACTTCTCTGTCAGTGGGATTCTCCAGGCAAGAATGCGGGGGTGGATCACCATTCCCTTTTCCAGAGGATTTTCCCGACCCAGGGATTAAACCCGGGTCTCCTGAATTGCAGGCAAATTGTTTGCCGTTTGAGCTGCCTATTAACTCAGTTGTCACCTGCTGATCTTTTCCTTTTTTAGAAATTATTTGGAACTTGTTGCAAAATCCATTCAAGATTGGATCATAAATGAAGAAGCTCTATATCAGGAAACTAAAATGTCTGATGAAATCAATAAAGCCAAGTATGAGCTGGAAATAAAATCTTCTGCTGGTATCAAAGTTTCTTCTACTAGCAAAATTTTTTCTATTAAAAAATCTAAAAGTAAGTAACCAATTTAACTTATATATAAAGTCCCAAGACATTCTGCTGTTTACTAATTAAATCAAGTCTGTGACTATTTCAGGATTAAAGAGTTGTCCACAACATTTCTGTGACTCTTCACTTTCCCTATAAAATAGAATAGCTGCTTTCTAAATATAATCAGAATGTTCATCTTATATTGATTTGATACTTGTCTTATATTGACCCCACTTCCTGCCAGATTTGAAAGATTCAATCTGTTCAGATTAAATGTGATGTTAGGGAAATGCCAGATATCTTTATTNTCTACTAGCAAAATTTTTTCTATTAAAAAATCTAAAAGTAAGTAACCAATTTAACTTATATATAAAGTCCCAAGACATTCTGCTGTTTACTAATTAAATCAAGTCTGTGACTATTTCAGGATTAAAGAGTTGTCCACAACATTTCTGTGACTCTTCACTTTCCCTATAAAATAGAATAGCTGCTTTCTAAATATAATCAGAATGTTCGTCTTATATTGATTTGATACTTGTCTTATATTGACCCCACTTCCTGCCAGATTTGAAAGATTCAATCTGTTCAGATTAAATGTGATGTTAGGGAAATGCCAGATGTCTTTATTTTGGTGGGCTTGATAGGTTTGCCTATCTAAGGTTTGTTTGGCAATATATGAGGTAAATTCAGATACAGTATGTCTCTGTAAGAATAATTATGGCTTCCAAAGTGAGAATCAAACAAGACCTTCCTTATAAGAGTAAACAGAAGAGTCCTGAGACTAACTGGGGGGTTAGAATAACAAATGAAGGGAAAATGAATTCTTGGGGGCCTGTGGCATGGATTAGATGGATATTGCATCAATATACATTTTTGTTTTTGTTGTTTATTTTCATTGTTTTGATGCTGTCAAGAAGAGAGAAGAAGCTGACAAAAAGAAAAAGGATATTTGATCGATGAGTGAAATGTTGATGTAATTCATCTGGAAAATAAAGATATTTTACTGGGTTCAGACAAAGGGAATGAACTCTGTATAATTACTATTGATTATTTCTGGTAACTAAGTTGAGAGTGATTTCTTATAAAGAAACGAAGCTATATAATTTCCTAAGTTTTTGCAACCTCTATAAACTACCAGGGGAATTTGTGCTTGGCTTGATTCTAAGATAAAACTTGGCAACCAAGTCAACGATTCACCTTTCAGCAAAATGGTTCCATAATCCATCCATCACTTCGGCCTTGCTCCAGGTGGGGCAGCACAGGACAGCACTAAGTAATTGGAATACTTGATGGGATCATATAAAGCAGGTAGGGCTGCCCTTACAGTTGTATTGAGGTCACGCTTATCTGCTAGTACCAAGGATTGTGGGTTGACTGCCTTTTCTTTATTCTGCTTCTGAGCAGCACCAAAAGCTCAATAATTATCTGGGTGTCTGTGGACCAAATTCAGAAAATGGTCGATTTGAAACCAGAGTTGGGATGCACCTGGTAGGTATTAAACATTCCGTCTGAGGCCTCTCAAGTCAGGACAGATGTAAATCTTCACCACAAAATAGCTATAATGGCAAGAGGAGGGCTTCGGTATGGAAGGAAAAGATAAATTTGCCCTCTGTGGTTTTAAGGGGTTAAATTAGGATTAATTAGATTAAAACTCTAGTGAAAGTCCAGCTCAACAAAAGCTTCAAAATCTCAACACATTGAGAATGGAATGCACTGCCTCTACTGATGGTGAGTTGTTCATCCCTAAAAGAGTTCATTTCTACTTCAGATGTCCACTCTAGAGATGACCCCGCCCCCCCCCAAAAAAAAAGAATTCAGATATAAGTGAATAGGGCTCTCCTACAATTCAGATGTTTGGTCCTTCTATGAAAATTAGAGAGTTTTACAAAGAAGTTTAATTTTCTCTGGTTATAGGTAACAAAGGAATGAGCAAAACAGAAATATCAGATCAAGAAAAAGACAAAGAAAAAGAGAAGGAAAAGATTCATTTTGTTTTAGAAGGCTCTCTCAAGGTAACCCAAAGAAAGACAAATGACACTGACAAATTACAGGTTCAGAATTATTTTGTGCTAGAGCATTTGTGTAGTATCACAGGAAATGATCTTTTTGCTAAACTCTCAGATAATTGAATCTTCAATGAAATAACAGTCTCTCCACCAAGCTCACTCCTCCACCAGATGATAAACCTTTAGAGAACTCTGCCAAAGTCCAGAGCAGCGCCCCTTTTCATAGTTGGTATACTCGCTGCTTCTGCTGCAGTGGTTTGTTTTTGTTTGCATTTTTGCTGGGATTTTTAATTACAAAAGTAATACATGCTTTTACAAGAAAGGCAGGCCTAAGCTCCTGAAATCAGAAATAGTAAAAGTTTGGTTTGTTCTGTGCTCATACAAGCATGCATACACAAATGTAAAGAAAGTTTTCATGTTTGGTTTTGGTTTAGGTTTGATATATATATATATATTTTTAACTCTGCCACATACTTTTTTCTCTTATCAATACATCCTGAATATCACTTCCAGACAGTAATGAGAGATCTAACTTATCTTCATAGCATTATATTAGTCTATGATTTGGATGTACCTTAATTTATAAAACAATTTCCTTATTAATAAATGCCAATTTTTAATATACAGAAACACTCAACTTTTATGTATTCAAATCAATCATTTTTGGCCAAAATTTAGAAGACACTGCCAAATTTTGGCAAGGATGTGAAGTAAAGCAAATTCTCCTATACTGCTGAAGTATAAGTTGGTACTTTCACTTTGGAAAATTGGGTGTAACTATTAAAGTTAGGCATACAATTTCTCTTTAACCTAATAATTTCACTCCTCAGTATATACCTGATATACAGATGCTTGCACGGGTGCACCAAGACATACGGACACAATTGTTTTTGCAGTGTTTTTAACTCTCCCAAACTGGAAACAATTCAAATATCCATCAATAGAAAGTCTAGAATGGTTTACTCATGTGATGAAATACTATGCAGCTATGTAAATGGCCTATAGCTTACAGAAATATGTATGAATCTTACAAACATCATATTAAGAAAAAGATGAGAAAGTTAAAAGACTATATATTGATACATTATATAAGATTTCATTTATAGAAAGTTTTAAATGGCAAAGCTAAAAACTAATGTATTAAAAACTAGGATGATGGTTACCTTTGGGGCAGTTCAGGTGGTCAGTAGTTGAGGAGAAGAATGAAGGGGGCTTCTGGGGAGCTAGGGATCATCTATTTCTTGGCCTGGTGGTACTTCTACGGGAGTGCTTACATGCATGCGTCAGTCGCTCTGTCATGTCTGACTCTCTGTGACCCCATGGACTGTAGCCTGCCAGGCTCCTCTGTCCATGGAATTTTTCAGGCAAGAATACTGGAGTGGGTTGCCATTTTCATCCTCCAGGGGGTCTTTCTGATGCAGGGATCAAACCTGCATCTTCTGTGTCTCCTGCATTGCAGGCAGATTCTTTACCTGCTAGGCCATCAGGGAAGCCCACAGTAGTGCTTACTTAGTGGTAATTCATTCAGATGTTCACTTAGAATTTGTGCTCTTTTTGAATGTATGTTATAGCTTCACACAAAAAAAGAAGTTTTTAAAATATCTGTTATTTTTTTTAATGTTTTTAGGACTTCTATGCTTTTGATTCCATCAGGTTGATTCTACCCTGAGTTTATGTTAATTTTCATGCACTCTCTTAGAATATTTTCATAGATATGCTTTTCATATTCAGAGATCATTAGAAATGATCTGAAATACATTTTTGTAGTGTAATGTAAGTGTCTTAGTTTTTCTTTGCCCAGATGGACTGTCATTTTACTAGTACCATTTGATTAAATGTAATATTAATCCCCATCCCTTAAACTAAATTGGAATGCTGATATGTCACGTATTAGGTACCCACTTTTTAATCTGTTTTTTAAAATCCCTATAAAATGATAAAAGACATATTCTAAGCTCTTCTGAACACCGGAGTGTTTAGTGTTTGTGTCCTTTGAAATTCATACGCTGAAAATCTAATCCCAATGTGAAGGTGTTTTAATCCATTTTTGAATGCTGAATTCTGTTTCAGTCACCCACCTATTTATTCCTAGACAAGTACCATACTATTTTAATTACATTAGCTTTGTTGTAAGCTTATACATTGGGTAGGCAGGAGCTGATTTCCCCATCTCCATCAGTGTGCAGTTACCTTCAAAATGTTGTTGGTTAATATTGGAGAGCCTCCCTGGCTTCTTGGTATTAATGGTAAAGGTAAATTACATGGCAAAATATATGTTTGCTGCTTATACTAAATTTTAAAGTAACTGTTGGTATTGAAACTATTATCTCTTGGGGCTTTTTCCTTTATTTAGGAGATACATTGAATTATGGAGATTGACTTAACAGTATGAATAACCTTTGCTTTTCTAAAACAAACTTCCCTTCAGTATTTCCTAAAGTTTAGTCCTTATCCCATGAAACCACATATGCCATAATTGCTTAAGTATCTCTGAAAGAGGAGAGAGTTAAAAGATATATGTTTATGTTCCATCCTAACTGATCTTTGGGAGTAGAACCTAGGAATTTTAATTTTTAGTAAGCTCCTGAGTCCATCTTTATGTACATTATTGATGAAAATTATAACACAGTTTTTCGTGGCATGTTATTATTTTAATAAACAACTAGATTTGATCTGATAATATTTTATCTAAAATTTTTGTGTCTAAGACGATTGAAATTATAGGCTTTTATATTGTTTTTAACAAGCATCACTATTAAGGTTATGTTGGCTTTTTAAATTTAGTTGATACATAGTATTATATGTTATATTACAATGATGATTTAATACCTTATCATTTTTGAAATGCATTATGCTAGAAATGTTTCTTTGAACATCTAGTCTACCATATTGCTGATTATTTAGAACCTAAATTGGGGATTAGACTCATGTGGAAAATATAGGAGGCAGGGAAACCAGCTAAGAGGCTGATGCAGTAGTTCAGGTTAAAGATAAAAAGAGACGTGAAGTTAAAAAAAAAAAACTGCAACAGAGATGAGTGGAAAAGCTGCAGTGAGAGAATCAAGGGTTGTACGACGGTCTCTAGTTCAGTATTTTGATCCATCAGAGACATAGCTTATAAAAAATGATGTAAAATGTTCTCCAAAGTGAACCTGAATGGGATCAAATTTGTTTCAAAATCCTGTTAAATGTTTTAAATGTGTTTACAGGCCTGGAAAGAAGAACAAGATCGGTTAGCTGAAGAGGAACGCTTAAAGGAAGAAAAAAAAGCAGAAAAGAAGAGTAAGGAGGCTGGTAAAAAGAAAGGCAAGGAAAAACCAGAAAAAGAAGATAGTAAGGTTTTCAAGAAAAAATCTTTTATAAGGGAAAAATCGAAAGAAGAGCAAATGAAGATCCCGGAAATAACAGAGGAGCCCCTCCAGGAACCAGAACCTGAGATAGTTTACCCGGTAGAATAAATTTTCTTAAAAGCCCCTTTGGGTTATACCTAGTTGTTTGGGGAAAAACTCAGCTTGGTGGAAACAAGGTTTTCAGTCTTCACTGCTGTCAGAGAGGCCTTGGGGTTTCTGCCAGTGTGGGTGATCTCACACCTGCAGTCCACCCTCTGATACCTGGAACCTTCTTTGCAGCCAGTTGGCAAGACAGCAACACCCTCAGGCCAGTTTTTATGGAGCGCCTTGAAGCTAGGTTTCTAGATGGGATTTTGGCACAAAAGCATTCATTTAGGTATAGGTAAATGCAACTCTGACAGGTCAAAATGTTACCAAGCCGAACTTGGGTCCACTTACCCACACACAGTAAAGCCAATCTACTGATACCGGGTTGTTGTGAAGGACAGTGCAGCATTTATCGCAGGGCGCCAAGCAGAGAGTCCTGGCCAGCCAGTGCTCAAAGCAGCTGACTCCCCAGTGGGTTTCAGGAAAGCAGATATAAAGGCCAAGTGAGGGAGGGGAGTCCCAGGCTGCATGATCAGCTGTGCACAGTTCTCTAGTTGATGGTGAGGTAATAGGGCTTAGGGGTAACAGAGTCACAGGGATTAACATTATCAATCCTTAGATGCCAACAGGTCTGGGGGCTACTGTGCTTATTGTCATCAAGTAGTTAGTTTCTTCCATTTAGTGGGAGTTTTAGCATCTATAAAACAACTCCGGAAATGTGCACAAGGTACTATTATCTAGTTACTTAGAGGAGCTAACGCAGAGGATATGAGGGAAGTAGTCTCTCCTGTGAAGGCCCCGTAGGGTCCTGAGGACACAGAGGTTGGTTTTATCTGACTTAGGTGACTGAACTTGCTGAGGGCATTGGGTTGTCTCTCTGTAGGCACCCCATTTCTTGCCTGTAGCTTTTATAAAATCTTTCCTTTTCCAGTCTCTCCCTCAAGCAGTTTTATGAGAAAAACATAATGGGCAAAAATGAGGGGAAAAGTAATAGTCCTTGTCCTTTCTAGTTACTACTCTGAGCCAGTTGTTCTCAAGCTTTAGCATGTAATCAGTGTCACTTAGAGCTGTATTAGCCACACAGTTAGAAAAGCCTTTAACACATGACCTTCTAAAGTGTAAAGTTATTAATATTCCTCAATATATCAGTTCACTTTAAACAAAAAGTTAATAGCCAATGAAAGAAATTGATTTCTCTTCCTATGGTATTATGAAGATAACCCAATGAACAGAGTTTAAAATCATGAGCCTCCTTTAATTCTGCTTGTTATTGTAAGACCACAGAAGGTACCAAAGATAAGATGGACCCTGGCCTCTGAGTCTAAAAAGTGATGACAAATCCTTTAGCAAAAATAAGGCTTATGACAACTTCTTATGACAACTTGAACTGGCTCACACGGATGACCTAATCTTTGTCAATGGCTGTTCCACATTCAAAGCATGATGTTTTCTCTTCTAGTTTCATGGATACAACATGGGAGAAATACCCGTGCAAATCTCAGGAACAAATTATTATCTGTATCCTTCTGATGGAGGGCAGATTGAAGTAGAAAAGACAACATTTGAAAAAGGTACCATTTGACAGAAGCTGGTTAATGGCTTGGAACATATTAGCCCATTTCAGATCACTGTGGGGCCTTGTCCTCCTGAATGTGATGGGTGAGAGTAGTGATGTGCCCCCAGTAGCTCATTTATGTACCATGTTCGCCATCTTCAGACTTCACTCTCTTCTGTTTTAATAACCTCTGCAAGGCACAGGCCACCTTGAGGTTAGCTGAACATACTAAGACAAACATTCCATGATGTGACATACTGCTATAGGGTTGGAAAATAAGAGCAACTGCAATAAACAAATCATTACTTAATAATGTTAATCTAACAGACAGTATTATCTCAGACACCAAGCACATACTGTGAATTTAGAGCAAATTCCTGGTTAGGTCTTCTGGAGCACAGAGCTTGGGGCCCTGCCTCTGATATCCAGTTATTTTAGCTACAGAGTAATTGCCTCTGGATTCAGAAGTCATTAGGTGGGAGGGGATCTTGGAGATGAACTGAGGTGGACCCATTCTGGAAGAAGGACATGCATTGTTCCCCCCAAGGGAAGAGCAGATCTGTGCTCTAGGAAACTTATCAAGGATATCTCATAGAGCTTCTCTTTTTACTGTGCTTTAAAGATTTCTTAGGATGGGTTTGAGAACGTGGGCTTTATTTGAACAACTTATCATCTTGTAGGGAGCAGTGGTCGCTGAGAGCTGGGAAGACTCAGTGAGGAGGGAATGTGAGCAGGATCCTGTTTAATGTCCACAAGATTATGCAACCCAGCAAGGACTACCAGGGCTATTCCCACCTACACTCCGCCTATGACACCAGCCACCCCTTCTCACTTCCTACCCTTCCTCCATCTGCCATCCCTCTCTTAGTTTTCCTTCTCCTCCCTTCCTTCCTTGTCATCAAATGACCATAATTTAATGAGGAAATCATTACAAGAGTCAGAATGCTATTCCCTATGTGGAATCATGGCTCAATCATCATTAGGTAGTAATTGCCACATCAAACAAAAGATCATACTAATGATTTTTAAAATAAAAAGGCCTGCAAGTTATTCAAATTATTTAAAGAATGGTTGTGGTACAACTATCAAACGCCAGACTTTTTACTATATAAAGTTTGTTTATTTAAAACATGAAAGGGATTTTTGTTATAGATGTTGTTGTTGTTTAGTTGCTAAGTCATGTTCAACTCTTGCGACCCCATGGGTTGTAGCCAACCAGGCTCCTCTGTCCATGGGTTTTCCCAAGCAAGAATACTAGAGTGGGTTGCCATTTCCTTCTCTCATTAATAGATTGATATACATATGTATTTATAGTACCATAAGTTTCAGTATTTAGTATTTTGAATATCATCCCTGGCTGTAGAGTATAATTCGTGATAAAGATGAAACTCAGAATCACGTAACTGAGAAGAGCACTAGACTCTAGTTTTATAATGCTATGTTCTGTTTTCAGTAACTATTCTTCACTCATCAATATTTTCATATGCATATAATGTATGGAGAGATGTGAAAGTGGGCTTCTCTGACAGCTCAGTTAGTAAAGAATCCTCCTGCAATGCAGGAGACCCTGGTTCAATTTCTGGTTTGGAAAGATCTGCTGGAGAAGGGATGGGCTACCCACTCCAGTATTCTTGGGCTTCCCTTGTGGGTCAGCAGGTAAAGAATCTGCCTGCAATGCGGGAGACCTGGGTTCAATCCCTGGGAGAAGGGATAGGCTACCCTCTCCAGTATTCTGGTCTGGAGAATTCCATGGAATGTTTAATGTATGTAAGTTTCAGATAGTTCATATGCTATCTGAAAGTATACTATTTTCATCTTAATCCTAGTAACTTTGAGCAATGATCATTCAATGAAAGTTGAAAAGCCTGGGTGAAAAAAAAGAAAAAAGCTGAAAGAGGAGAGAAAGAATGAGTCAAGACACTGGAAGAAAGAATATGTTGTTTGGGAAATTCTTATGTGTTCTTAACAACTACTGTAACTAAAATTCATGCAATTCTTTGTAAACTGCAAAAATCTTTTCACATTAACCCTCGCACGTGATTGATCATAAAGTTGAGTATAGATGAGGAGCCTGGCGGGCTACAGTCCATAGGATTGTGAAGAGTCAGACATGACTGAAGAGCGACTTAGCACACACATAACCTTAGCTCAGCCAATTTATTCTCCCTTCTCTAATTTGATTTTAGGTGTGAGCAGAAAATCTGAAAATATCTCCCTGATCCACCTGCTATTTCTTCCTGGAATCCCACATTACTTTATTCCTTTAGGTATCTTTTTATAAAAATGGTGACATCCCTAGGTATTTCCAGTCCTTGGCTTACATTCTATTATGTAAATTGGCTGCATTATTTAGAGGTTTTATTATAGAGTTTAATGGGGCATCACCATCAGCCCACTTTCTATCCCATGATTCTTCCCCAGGTCCAACATTTATCAAAGTGAAAGTGAAAAAGGACAAGCACAATTTTTTAATTCACTTAAGAGACCCTAGGAAAATTGTGGAACAGGAGAAAAAAGAAGGGGATTATACTTCAGAAGATGAGAAAGAAGAAAGAGAAGGAGAGCAAAACTTTGAAGCAGGTAAACAGCTGCATCTTTGTGGCAGTGTATCAGTACTTCAGTAGGTCAACTGCATCCACCTAGCAGAAACACAGGTATCCCCGGCAGGTAGCATGTGCTGTTTTTCCAGATGATAACTGAAGTGTTTTGCTATCTTCTATATATACGTTTTCAGTAATATAATATGTATATATAACACATTGTATCCATAACCAATCTATATCTATATCTTCCTTGGTTTTGCCTCCTCTGGAAACTCAGCTTTTGATTCCAGATGACATGCAGGCTATCTTGCATGGCTATGTTTATGATTTTGCAGTATCCATCCTGGCCTGAATTTTATTTTATTCACTATACCAAATGCAGTCTCTAGGAGTCGGGTCCTCATTAATTGACTCCTATTTGAAGGCTAGGCTTCTCTCCAATATTGATTGCAAATGATGCAGTTTTTATCTGTGTGCTTATCACTTTGTTCTCCCTGTAGTCTCAGGTTTCTCAAGTTGCAAGGACAAGGAAAAAATCCTAAATTTGGCCATGAGCATCTCTACCTGCTTGTAGGTGGGAGTTCCAAATGGATGTCCATTGGTCATACACCATGAAATTTCCTGATAACACCATTTAACATCTCCAGGCACCATTAACTGGAGAAATCAATTGCTTCTCGCCCAGTGTGGGTTATACCTGCAAACGAAGATGAGTTAATTAATAAAATGCTTTGAACACAAGTTAATAATAAGTAATAAGATCAGTAACTAAATCTTGCTAACAAATTTAGTTACTGTCACAGTATTTTCTAAATTCAAGGTAAGAATACAGTGTTTGACAAGTATGAATGTACCCAAGAACTTAAAAATAAAAAAATTTTAATGGCTTTCTGTGTTTTGCCAGATATAAAAACACATGGTTTAGTATAAAAATTAGGAAATATAGGAATATTTTTAAAAGATGACAGTTGCCCATAAGTCTACCACCCCAGAAGTAACCACTATTCACAGTATATTTCTTTCTTTCTTTATCATGATGTGAAAGTGAAAGTCGCTCAGTCGTGTCCGACTCTTTGTGACCCCATGGACTCTACAGTCTGTAGAATTCTCCAGGCCAGAATGCTGGAGTGGGTAGGCTTTCCCTTCTCCAAGGGATAATGAGCAGTTTCCTATTCATTAAATATCCTCTACAAATAATTTTTTAATGATTTCATAATAATTCATTGGTGTATATTTATATATATTATAATTTACTTAATCATATCCTTGTTTTAAATATATTTAGATGATTTCCACTTCTCACTGAATTTTGCTTACATTTTTTTGATAAAACAGAAATGTCCTTGATTCAATTTTATCTTTTAGAAGAATCAAATGAAGAGAATAAAGCTGTCAGCAAGTTTGGATCTTTTTCTGCCACCTTGGAAAATGGAATCTGCCTCTCAATAAGTTACTATGGATCAAGTGGATCAGCACCAGGTGAATTAAACACAACAGAAAGGATAAATGTCCCGTGTCCAAGGGCAGCTCCCCATCCTCCATCTGCTCACTTGTTAATAAACATGTTCTGATTTAATGCCCCTCATTTCCTGAGCAGTGGGAATATTTGTGTGTGTACATATATATGTGTGTGTACACATGTATGTACACATGTAATCTTTCATACGTAGAAAATAACAGTGATTTGGCATTTTAAACAGCATTTATCATATGTATAATCTCCCATATAACCACATATACATACATATAAGTTGTCTTTGTGAACTAGCCCATGAAAATCAGTCTGTTAGGTGGTGACAAAAACAGCATGATTGGCTGAGGAATCCTTTTGATTTTCTACAGAATAATATTTCTTTGAATCCTGTGTTTGTGGAACTTCTCACTGTGCCTCAGAACATTAGTCTTAAAGGAGCCATTCACTAAGCATATTGAAGGATTTATTTACCCTACTCTCAATAAATAAATTCTCCAACTGGAAGTTATTTCCTTACAAACCACAAAATAACCTGTCACTTTACCAAGAACCAATTAGGAGAACTTGTGGGTTCTCAGGCATTTTGTAGGGATCTATCCACAAGATGTTAAAAAAAAAAAAAAGGNAATACTATAAATTCCTTAAGGATGCATACAATATTAATAATATTTAGGAACATTTATCTACTAATGGCTAAACAAATTTGAGTGGGTTGCCATTTCCTTCTTCAATGCATGAAAGTGAAAAGTGAAGATGAAGAAGCTCAGTTGTGTCCGACTCTTAGCAACCCCATGGATCGCAGCCTACCAGGCTCCTTTGTCCATGGGATTTTCCAGGCAAGAGTACTGGAGTGGAGTGCCATTGCCTTCTCTGATCATCTTTGTTAAAAAAAAATACTATAAATTCCTTAAGGATGCATACAATATTAATAATATTTAGGAACATTTATCTACTAATGGCTAAACAAATTTTCAATCCAATTCTCCCATCTTAATTCAGTATGCACAGCTCTCTGGAGCTTATTCATTTTGCTTAACTGAAATTTTATGCCCACTGATGATGATACTACTTTATGCTTCCAATTTCCTTCTCTCCCCAGGCCCTGGCAACCACCATTCTACTCTTTAGTTCTGTGAATTCAGCTATTTTAGATACTTCACATAAGCCGAATCAGGCAGTGTTTGTCTTTTTGTGACTGGTTAGGGCTTCCCTGGTAGCTCAGTTGGTAAAGAATCTGCCTGTAATGAAGGAGACCCTGGTTGATTCCCGGGTTGGGAAGATCCCCTGGAGAAGGGATAGGTTACCCACTCCAGTATTCCTGGACTTCTCTTGTGGCTCAGCTGGTAAAAAATCCGCCCACAATGTGGGAAACCTGGGTTTGATCCCTGGGTTGGGAAGATCCCCTGGAGACAGGAAAGGCTACCCACTCCAGTATTCTGGCCTAGAGAATTCCATGGACTGTATAGTCCGTGGGGTCGCAAAGAGTCAGACACAACTGAACGACTTTCACTTTATTTCACTTAGCATACTGTGCTCAAGGATCATCCACATTGTTGCAAATTACAGAATGTCCTTCTTTTTTAAGACTTAATAGTGTTCCATTGTAAGTATACATCATACTAGAACCATTCATCTGTCAATGGGCCTTTTGTATTATCTCCACAACTTGGCTCCCCTGTGCTTTTTGTGCCTTTCAGTTCCTTGATGATCTATGTTATCTCTTATCTCTGACCAATTGCCCATGCTGTGCCCTTTGCTCAGAACACTCTCTCTTGCTATATATACCACCACCACTTTGAACAGTGAACTTCCTCCCACGCTTCAGGACTCAGCTTACAGGTTACTTGCTCTAAGAAATGCTTCACTCATGTGAACTGAGTCTTTGGAGGTGAGTGGAATTTGCTTAGGCAAAGAATCAAAGGAAGGGAATTCTATATCAGGAGCAGCATGTGCAAAATCACAGTAATATAAAAGTGTGGCACATTTGTAAAAAAACAATTGCACAGTATAGTCAGGCCTCCTTATCCCATATCCATGGGTTCTCTGTATTCATAGATTAGACCAACCTGTTTAAAATATTCTTTAAAAAAATTCAAGAAAATTTCACAGAGCAAAACTTTGCCCCCAAATTGGCCACACGTCTAGCACTGGGCTGAAGTCAGGTGGATGATGGGATGTGTAGGCCCACCCTACTGTGACCTCCCAGCACATCATAGATTCAGTCTCTCCAATGCTCATTGTATGAACATTGTTCTTCTGGCATTTTGTTTGTTTGCTATACATGTTATGTGTGCTTGCTTGGTTTCTGTGAAAAATGGCTCCCAATAGCAATTAAGTGGTCAAAACAATCCCACCAAGGCCAAGAAGGAGTACAAAATGCTATCTCTCAACAATAAAATACAAATCTTTAGATCTTTTGAAAAGTGACATGTGCCTTGCTGAAGTGGGATGTAAGGTTACTAAGAACAAATGGAACATTCTCACAGTAATGCAGAAAGAAGCTGAAATTCATAGAAGTGTTAGAGCTTCCCCTACAATGGCAAAAATGATCTCTCTGGTTCATTACAAAGTGCTTGTAAAGACAGAAAGCATTTTGTCTGTAGCTAAGGGCCATGGCGTGAAGCATGTCCCTGGGGGTAGCAAAATTATGGATGAAAGAGCACATAGCCTCTGTGAGCAGTGCTGTGGGGATGGTGAGGAGAGCAAGAGGAAGGGGTTTAAGGGTCTTAAGAGATGGCTACTTGGGTAGTAAAGTGTTAGGGTCCCTCAAAAACTTAAAGATCATGGAACAATCAACATCAGCCAATGCCGAAGCAGCATCAGTGTTTCCAGAAGACCTCGAGAAACTCACAGAAGAGAAAGTTCACTTTCCAGAGCCAGTCTTCAATTGTGACAAAACAGGCTTATTCTGGAAGAAGATGCCCAATCATATCTACATCTGTAACAGGGCCAGGTAAACCCCGGGGTTCAAGGCCCAGAAAGCTCACCTTACTCTGGGGCTGTGTGGCAATATAGCAGGTAACATGATCAAGCCTAGTCTATAAGCAAACAACTCCTGGGCCTGGAAGAACAAAAACAAAAATTGTCTGCCTGTGTTCTGGCAGCACAACAGGAAAGTTTGGGTGACAGAAGTCTTGTTCTTGGAATGGATCCTCCAAGGCTTCATTCTTGAAGCGAAGAAATACCTGGAAGAGAAGGGGCTGCCATTCAAGGGGTTCCTCTTAATTGGCAATGCTCCCAACCAACTGAGCTTCTCTGCCTCATTGACAAGAAAGTGGAAGTGATGTTCCTGCCTCCTAGTGCTGCATCACCGCTGAAAGAAAGTGTGAAAGTGAAGTCGCTCAGTCATGTCTGACTCTCTGTGACCCCATGGACTGTAGCCTACCAGGTTCCTCCATCCATGGGATTTTCCAGGCAAGAGTACTGGAGTGGGTTGCCATTACAGCCACTCAATCAAGGCATCGTCGAGGACATTAAGGCAACTTACATCCGCCTTACCTTGGGAGAGATTCATGCTATCCTTGGTGCTAACCTGGACTGCAGCATCATGGATTTACAGAAGAGCTCCACAGTTGTGGTTTGAACTGTGTTTATTGCAGAGTTTGTAGATACTGAAGCCTGAGACAGTCAGGGCATGTTTGAAGCCATTATAGTATGAGATGGTTGATGGTCTCAACGACTCCCCCACTGTTGATGTAGAAATTGTCAAATATCTGAATATCTCAAATGTTGCAAGGGAAGTTGAGGGGGGTGCCTCCTCTGACATGGTCTAGGATGATGTCGAAGAACATATAGAAGATAAAGGAATCCTTAGCAACAAGGAACTCAAAGATCTGCTGAAGTCTTCTGCAGATGACTGTGATGATGCAGAAAATTTAGAGGAAGCAGAGCCATCAATTTGAACATTTGAAAAAATGGCAGTGACTTTTCAGTAGGTGCAAGTGTTAAAGGATGTGATCCTCAAGTACAGTCCTTTTTTGGACTGAAGCCTCTGTGTCACCCAAGGTATAACAGTGTGCCTACAACCACTGCAAGACTTCTTTGATGATACATAGAGAAAGAAGAAACAGCTTCCTCTAACAATGATTCTAACTAAGGCACCTGCAGTTGTGAAGCCTAGACCTTCAACACTTGAAGATCCTCAGCCCTCAACCTCCAGAGATCCTGACATTAGTGTTACTGAGCCTCCTCCAAAGTGTCAGTGTCTACAGTTGGAATCCAATTATCTGGACTGAATACCTTCTGATATCCTGTCATAAGGCTTAACTCAGCCTGATGCCTCACCACTTACCAACAGTGCCACACACCTCATCAACTTGCCACATTGGTACCATAGACACCATATAGCAATCATCATTGTCATCATCATCATCCAAGGGGATCAAGAGAGAAGAACCAGGGTTATGGTGAGTGTTAGCACAATGTTTATGTATGTGTGTGTGAGAGAGAGAGGAAGAGAGAGAATGAATTAATATTTCTCTATATTTTCTATATATACTTGTATTTTAAATGATAGATGTTTTATTTGGTATTTTTTGCATCATTAAATAAAAGCAATCTGTAACTGTTGAAAGAAAATATTACATTTTTGATGTGTGCCATACAGTTAAGCCTATGATGGTTGCATAGTTGAGACTATACTAAACATAAACATACTTTTTTCTTGTCATTATTCTCTAAATGATACAGTATAATGATTATGTACACAGCATTTACATTGTATTAAGTATTATAAGTAATCTGGAAATAATTTAAAGTTTATGGGAAAATGTCCACGTGCTTAGTCACTCAGTCATGTCCAACTCTTTGCAACCCCATGGACTATAGTCTGCCAGGCTCCTCTGTCCATGGGATTCTCCAGGCAAGAATACTGGAGTGGATTGCCATGCCCTCCCCGAGGGGATCTTCCCTACCCAGGGATCGAACCCAGGTCTCCCACACGGCAGGCAGATTCTTTACTGTCTGAGCCGTCAGGGAAGCCCAAAAGTTAGGAATGTTCTGGGTGGGATGTATCCAGTAAGTTTTTATGTTGTTATTAGCCCAAGAATACTGGAGTGGGTAGCCTATCCCTTCTCCAGGGGATCTTCCCAACCCATGAATCAAATCAGGGTCCCCTGCATTTCAAGTGGATTCCTTACTAGCTGAGCTACCAGGGAAGCCCAAAAATGGCCTTAAACACTGCCAAATGTAGGTGATTCTTCAAGGGAAAAGAATATCAACACTTCAACAGCCTATGCTCAGGCTCACGGGCAGCAGATTCCTTCACATACCAAGAGTATTGGGTGTTGAAATGGACAGTGTGAAAGGCTATTATTTCCTCTCTATGGAAATAAATACTATACCATTTTATATGGGACTTGAGCATCCACGGAATTTTGGCATCCATGAGGGTGTCCTGGAACCAACCCCTGTGGAGTTAAAGGATGACCGTATAAAGTACAGCTTGTATGAAATGTTTAGTATCAAATGCCCTTCTTCTAGGTTGCCACAGTGCTCTGTACTTCGCTAACACAGGCTTAACACACAATACTGAATACCTGAGGCTCTCTTGAGCTGAATTGCCATTTTATTACAAGTTCCTGTTGTCTCGTTCATCACTGGTTACCCAGTTCATGGTGCATAGTAATAGGTACTCCGTAAATATTTGCTGATTGAGTAAAAGGATGGGGATGAGAGGAAGGCGTTTTCAGCTGCCTCCAACTAGATGCCCTTCACTGCTGATACTCCATACTTCCTATGAGTCGGGCATCTGGTTACATCTACTCAGAAAACTCATTGTCTCATGGGAAGAGAAACCAGAAATAGTGAGATAACTGCATAAGTGCTAAAAATTATATATAAACCAAGTACTAGGGACAGCCAGAAAATACTTGAGAGAGAAGGCATAGCACCCAAGATGAGACTTCATAGCTGAGTAGGAACTATCCAGTCAAAGCAACAAGGAAAGGAAATTCTGGACAGTAAGAACCATTGGTATAAATATACAGTTGTGTAAAAGCATGGCATCTTTGTAGAAAAATGATGAGTGTGACTAGAGTGGAAATGGGTAAGCATTGTGTGTGCTTTAAGATTAGTGAGCACTGGAGGTTTTTCAGTAAGAAAAGGAAAGTGATATGAAAAGATTTTATTTTAGGAACATAATTATAGTGATGGTTTGGAAATACACTGAGGCAGTGGTATTAGGAAACTGCTGCCAAAAAAAGCAAGAGAATAAGAATTTGAATTAAGGTGGTAGGAATGGATATGAGACGCATGATATGAGAGCAATATCTGAGGGCTCTGTGAATGGCTGGATGTATGGGTGAGTCAAAAAAGAGAAAATGCAAATGATCTCAATGTCTAACTTGAGGAACAAAGTGCATGATCGATCATGACATTGACTGAGGTTGAGAACATAGGAAGAAGGGTTATCTGCTTGGAAGAATAGAGGCTTATTGATTTTGAAATATCTCCAGTACCACAAACAGAGGGGCGATATCTAAAAGCAGTTGGAAATACAGATCTGGAGCTGAGAAGAAATCCCATGCCTAGATATGTAAATTTTGGAGGCATTGACATGTAGATGACAGCTGGAGCCCTGATCTAATAGAGATAATAGAGGTTGTCAGCCCTGACTGTGTATCACCATCGCATGTGGTGTTTCACAACTAGAAATGCCTGGGCCTCCTCCCCAGAGAGTCTAACTCAGTAGGTCAACGTGGGAGTCTGAGAATTTTTTAAAATTCTATGAATAATTATTATGGGCAACCAGGACTGAGAATATCTGTTGTGTAATGAGAAGAGGAGTGAAAACCTGGGACTACCAACTTTCAGCAACAGGAAGAGTTAGTAAAGGAGACTGAGGAAAAATGACCAGAGAGCTAAGACGATATCCAGGTGGGGGTGTTACTCTGGAACCCAAGAAATACAACTCAAGATGTAAGGGATGCTCAGAACTTTCTGACATAATTCCTCCATGGATTGCCTCTCCATTTACAATTCTGCATTAAAATCCAGAATAAAATCAGTCTTCTGCAAGAAAACTTCTTTTATCATCTCAGATAGAAATAATCTTTCTTTTCTAAATTTCCTTGTTTGTATCCCTCATTATGTTCTTGTTTAATATGACTTTGTCTTGAAGTTATTTGAGAGCAGATCTTATTTAGACTATTTTATCTTCCTAAAGTCTTTTTTCCCTTTATTGTTCACTGCTCCACACGTTTACATATAAGAGTCTATCAATAAATATTTCTCAAATAAATGAAGAGATGGTTACTGCCCTATCATTAGGAGTTAACAATCTAGATGGGGATGGAAGAACATGTGAAATAATGACTCAACCAAATGTATCAAAGTATTAAGTGCCTCACATTTTTAAACTACAATTTTGATCTTCAAATCAACTGCATTATCCCCTGAAACCTATACAACTGATAAATGCTACTAGCAAGGTAAAAATGGTCAAATTGTATAAATTTTTGAGATGTAAATTTTATTTAACAAACATATCAAATATAAATGTCTAATTTTTTTTCCTCTTTCTCATATTATAGAGGATAAGGATCCTAACTTGGAATCTATGTTGAATATCCCATCAGTACATACTCCAACAGTGATTCCTGTTATAGTGAGTATTCCTCAAGGCAAAGGCAAAGGTAAAACAAAAGGGAAGGAAAAACCCAAAGACTCTCTTAAAGAAGAGGAGCGCCCAAAAGAAGAAGAGAAAAAGGTAAGTGGACCCTGCCATGGATTCCCAGATTCTGCTTCTGACTCAATGTTAACTTTTTGAAGATCATGATTTATGCCAATAGTGTTATTACAGTACATATATTTCACTGTTTAGATTAACTAACACTCCTTGTACTTTCTATTTTAAATGGACAAAAGAGGCCTGCATACAGGAGTTGAATTCCCACACTGGGAGACATGTTGTCAGTCATCTACAAACTGTCTCAGGTCATTCATTCCAAACTTAGAATAACTAGTTCAACCGTTTCCCCACCTTGGATCTTGGATGTTCTTTGCTTTAGGATGATAAAGTTCCTATCATTCCTTATTTTTAAGACTTCATTTAGTTCCATTGAGATAAACAACAATTGGAAGAGGAAGATCTTTAACTAAATAGTGNGCCAAGTCCAACTCTTTGCATCCCCATGAACTGTAGCCCGCCAGGCTCCTCTGTCCATGGGATTCTCCAGGCAAGAATTCTACTCTAGGGGATCTTTCCGACCTAAGGATCAAACTTGTGTCTCCTGCATTGGCATACGGACTCTTCACCATTGAACCACTTGGGAAGCTCCCATACCCCACCCCCATAATTCTCTTCTGTAGACCATATTTGAAAAGTGTATCCATCAAAGATAAAGAGTATGCGAATTGAAAAACAATTCAGTGGTATATTCACTTGCCAGCCGAATGAGAAGAAACAATATTGTAGCTATTATGTCTCAGTTTTACTTTTCATTAGGCTTTCTGAATTATTAAAAATAGAGTCTGGAACTTTGTTTCTATTTCTGGGAATTCCTAGTGGTCCAAGTTTTCCATGATGGGATCGACTGTGTGTGCTACTAAGACTGATGGCCCTGGAGGGCCTTCCAAAGTCAAACATGCTATGAATGTACTGAGAGGGATATTGTTTTCAAATTCAGAGACATAATTGTTCGCTGATTGTTTTCTTGATTCTATTATCAAACCACAGCTTCATATTTGTTTTACCTGTCTTTTCTGTTAGTTTCGTTTCCTAGTCTGATGTTTTCATGTTTGTGTTAGAGTGGAAATGTAATTAATATTAACTCTGCCTGGAACACATAATCTTTCTAAAATGTTCCAGGTATTGCATGCCAAGTCACTTCAGTCGTGCCTGACTCTTTGTTACCCTATGGACTGTAGCCCTCCAGGTTCCTCTGTCCATAGAATTCTCCAAGCAAGAATACTGGAGTGGGTGGCCATGCCCTCCACTAGGGGATCTTCCTGGTCCAGGGACCGAACCCACATCTCTTGCATTGGCAAGCAGGTTCTTTACCACTAGTGCCACCTGGGAAGCCCATGCATTATGTATATTCTAATTCAAGTCTGAACATAATGACAACATAAACATCAAAGTAGCACTGTCTTCATACGATCAGCCTAGGGCAAGGGAAAGAAGGTGACATAGTGTAAGAAGGAAGAGCCTAGAAACTTGAGTTCTTTCCAGGGTGACCTTGAAGAAGTTATAACCCACCACCCTAAATTTCTTCATTTATAAAATAACATCTACTAAACAGGATTGTTATAAATATTAAATGATAAAATACTTCCTAATCGGGAGACTATTACTGCACTGTTAGGTTTTTGTTTGTTTGTTTTTAATCGTGGTAGCTGTGGTTGTTTTTTCAGTATAAGGGAAAGGCTGAGCACAGAGACTTGCTTTCAAATCTTAGCTCTTAATAGCTGTGTGACCTTTAAGAAGTTACCCTCCATTAATTCATCTAAAAACTCTGGAAAAGAATATTAGAAACAAAAGCAAAAATAAACAAATGGGACCTAATGAAACTTAAAAGCTTTTGCACAACAAAGGAAACTATAAGCAAGGTGAAAAGACAGCCCTCAGATTGGGAGAAAATAATAGCAAACGAAGCAACAGACAAAGGATTAATCTCAAAAATATACAAGCAACTCCTCCAGCTCAACTCCAGAAAAATAAATGACCCAATCAAAAAATGGGCCAAAGAACTCAACAGACATTTCTCCAAGGAAGACATACAGATGGCTAACAAACACATGAAAAGATGCTCAACATCACTCATTATCAGAGAAATGCAAATCAAAACCACAATGAGGTACCATTATACGCCAGTCAGGATGGCTGCTATCCAAAAGTCTACAAGCAATAAATGCTGGAGAGGGTGTGGAGAAAAGGGAACCCTCTTACACTGTTGGTGGGAATGCAAACTAGTACAGCCACTATGGAAAACAGTGTGGAGATTTCTTAAAAAGCTGGAAATAGAACTGCCATATGACCCAGCAATCCCACTTCTGGGCATACACACCAAGGAAACCAGATCTGAAAGAGACACGTGCACCCCAATGTTCATCGCAGCACTGTTTATAATAGCCAGGACATGGAAGCAACCTAGATGCCCATCAGCAGACGAATGGATGAGGAAGCTGTGGTACATATACACCATGGAATATTACTCAGCCATTAAAAAGAATTCATTTGAATCAGTTCTAATGAGATGGATGAAACTGGAGCCCATTATACAGAGCGAAGTAAGCCAGAAAGATAAAGACCATTACAGTATACTAACACATATATATGGAATTTAGAAAGATGGTAACGATAACCCTATATGCAAAACAGAAAAAGAGACTCAGATGTATAGAACAGACTTGTGGACTCTGTGGGAGAAGGCGAGGGTGGGATGTTTCAAGAGAACAGCATCGAAACATGTATATCTAGGGTGAAACAGATCACCACCCAGGTTGGATGCGTGAGACAAGTGCTCGGACCTGGTGCACTGGGAAGACCCAGAGGGATCGGGTGGAGAGGGAGGTGGGAGGTGGGGTCGGGATGGGGAATATGTGTAAATCCATGGCTGATTCATTTCAATGTATGACAAAAACCGTTATAAAGTAATTAGGCTCCAACTAATAAAAATAAATGAAAAAAAATAAAAAATAAAATAAAAACTCTGGAAAATGAAAGTGTCTACCTTAAAGGATTGTTGAGGTAGGCTGAACAAAATGCATATACAAAGCATTTAACATGTAGAAATATATCAGCAGATGTTTATTATTTTTTTTATTATTCCTTCTTTGACTTGAAGGGTACCATGAAGGATGTTCCTTCAAAATTATTTTCCTACTAGCCCTATATAGTTCTTGAAATGCCATCATTTCATATTAGTAAACCACTTTATTTTTCCTCCAGAACCAATAGCATTTTATTTTAACTTTTAATACAGAAAAATGTAATAGATAATATAACATATTCATGTGACAGCCAGTCAAAATATTGTTTTCTGTCATACTTTAATCAAAATATTTTTTAAAATTTCGTAGTTGTAATCCCAAATTTCTCATTATGTTCTATTCCTTTTCTTTCTCCTATAGTAAACAAGATTTAGATTTTTGTGCAAGTAGGTTTGTACAAATATGCTATATGTATGCCTTTATAATAATAAATAATGTGAGTAATGCAAAATTTATACAAATTATATTATAAATATTTTTCTGCAAATAGCCTTTTTATTCAATCTCTATTTTGGATATCCAAGATGATACACATGTATCAAATAGATTTATCTAAAAATGTAGATAACATGTAATCAGATGAAGAGGCTGTGATTTTTTAATGTACTCCATCACTGATAGACGTTGGATTTCGTGTTAGTAAATGACTTTTTAAACAGAGAAGAGGAAATTATTCAATTAGCAAAACCTGAGTAGGTGCTGTGTGCCAGAAATTCTCAATAATGGTACTTTCCTTTGGAGGAATTGATTAGGTGCTTTTCTCCTTGATTGCCAGTTAAGAGTAGAACCATGAGAAAAATCTGGACTTGGTTAGAGATGAGAAGACTGTGTTAACTTTGAAAGATGGTAAGTGATTTAAAAAGAACGGGACTGAGTGAATGATTTCTCCTGGGGCTCCAGGTGACTGGGGGACTGCCAGGGAGCATTGTGCATCCCTGGAAGAGAGATAAAAGAAAAGAGGATGAAAGGAAAATACCAACAGGAAGAAAAGGCAATATCTAAGACAGCATAACTGCTCACTTCCTAATTTTGTCCTGAAATGTCCTGAACATCAGTAGAGAGAATGGCTAATATATGAAAAAGGTAGCTATTAAATAAATGGCCTTATTTACTATATAGAAAGTCAGCAAAAAGGGACTTCTCTGGTGGTCTGGTCGTTAAGAATCTGCCTGCCAGTGCAGAGGACCCAGGTTCCATCCCTGGTCTGAGAAAACCAGGATGCCATGGAGCCACTAACCCTATGCATCACAGCTACTGAGCCTGCACACCTAGAGCCTGTGGTCTGCAACAAGAGAAGCCACCGCGCCAAGAAGCCCACGTACCTCAGCTAGAGAAAGCCAGAGCAACAAGGACCCAGCACAGCCATAAAAATAAATAGTTTTTTTAAAGGCAGCAAATAATCCATATTTGGGCCATCTGTCATGACATGAAAACTGTCCTAGTGTCCAGATATAAACAAAATAATGAAAAAAATTAAGAAGATGAAACTCCAGCCACACAGCATTGCCCAGTTCACAGTAAGCCTTTTTTTTTTTCTTTTTAAGATCAATGTATTATAGATGAGGAACCCACTTGGGATATCATGGTCCGACAGAACTACCCCCAGAAGGTGAAGCACTATGAGTTCTACAAAATGGTGATGCCACCGCTGGAGCAGGAAGCATCAAGAGTTATCACCAGTCAAGGCACTGTTGTCAAATACATGCTGGATGGATCCACACAGGTAAAGGAATATATTAAATTACACTCTTTCCTGCTGCAAAGTAAAATACAAACAAGCTGGATGTGGGTAATAGTGCTATGACAGGGAAGAGAAACAACTCATTTGAAAAATGAATAATGCTTTCAAAATGACAAAGTATATTATAATTGGAAGAAAAACACTACCTTAGATGGTATACCTACTAGACAGATATTGACAGAAACTAAGTGTTTGATGAAATTTTCTAATGTAGTCATTAGAAAAATTGAAACAGGGTGAATCATTTCCCAATTACAGAGAGGAAGGGTGAAGAATGGAAAATCGTAAAACAAGTCAAACTGATAAAATACATGAAATGAAAATAAACAAAACAGCGAGTAAATGGAAAACAAAGTAATACCATTGTTTTGTACTTTTGTGTTATTGGCTGTCTTGTCTCTGAGCTCCAGATCTCTAAATCATAACATGCTTTATCCTACTGGATCTGCAGGTCAGCAAGTTCCACTTCGCTGAGTCATTTTTAACCTACTGCAGTCTGGCACGGTATTGTTAACCAGTTTCTTCCCCGTTTCTTAGAATGCTCCCCTTTGGCTTTTTCTTCAGATTCTCTTTGCAGATGGGACTGTGAGCTGTAGTCCTGATTCAGGGCCTGTCAGTCTTCCTACTGACAGGCCAGCCAGCGCTCACAGTGCTGACTTGATGGACACGCTTTCTCAGCAGAAATCAGAAACAGCACCATCGGAGACTGTCATCACAAAGAAAGGTAGTAACTGAAGCCTCTCAATTTATAATGGATTTAATCAGTCCAAGAGCTTAATAAATGCTCAGCATTATTATTACTATTATCATGCTTATCTTTTTGTTGAATAAATGCAAATTTCAACGGGAATCACTGCATTACACATTTCTTGATCACTTGGATCTTTTTGTATTAAATAGCAAACATTTTCCTGTGTCATTATGTACTCTGAAATGGTGGTGGTGGTTTAGTCACTAAGTCGTGTCCAGCTCTTGCAACCCCAGGACTGTAGCCTGCCAATCTTCTCTGTCCATGAAATTTTCCAGGCAAGAATACTAGAATGCGTTGCCATTTCCTTCTCCAGGGGATCTTCCCGACCCAAGGCTTGAATCTGGGTCTCCTGCACTGTAGGCAGATTTTTGCTAACTGAGCCACCAGAGACGATGTTAGCTCTCACACCCGGGCCGCTGTTTTAGGGTGAGACGAGCATCAGTGATATCAAGGTTCTGGGTAGGCTTCTCTGTCCTCCTCCTTTCCTCAGAAGAACAAGAAGACCACGTCGGCTCCAGGTGTGAGGTCCTCATGTCATAACTTCCAAAGCAGAAAGGAAAGAGTGCGAAGAATGGCTGTAATATGTATAACTGAGTTACTGTGCTCTATGACAGAGATTGGCACAACATTGTAAATCAATTATGCTTCAATTAAAAAAAGGTAAATTTTAAAATGAAGAAAGGAAAGAGGGTGAAGATAAGAGTTTTCATGGGTCCCTTTTTCCTCTTTCTTTTTTACTTTTTAAATTATGAAAGTATGATAACACATTTATAGAAACTTAGAAAATGCAGAACAAATTTACATACAGTTCCACTGTATATTGCAATTATTTTTAAGTAGATAAATTAAGATTTTTAGTATAATTTGTATCCCACTATTGTATGAAAATTGTTTAAATCTTGATTATGTTGAATGGGCTCATGGTGCTTTTCAGGTCTACTATATCCTTCTACTTTTCTGTATTTTCATTCTATTAATTTCTGAGAGTTTGAAACTGAAACTTCACATGTCTTTCTTTATCAGGGAGAAAAATACCTCCAGAGTCCCCCAGCACCCCCCCCACTCCAGGTCTCCTCTTATATCTCATTGACTAGACCTAGATGGGGCCCTAGGCTGGGAAAACAGCATCCGACAGTTTTGGCTTTTCTCTCAGGAGATGATCACTACTAGTAGGGAGAAAGGAAGGTGGAGAGTCGGGTAAGCAGTCAACAGTGTCTGGCATGGTCTAAATTACTTGCTCTCCTTCGAGACAATTGCAGTTTATACCCCTGCCTCCAGCACAGCATGAAGGCATCTGCCTCCTCATACCTTTGCTTAATGCTGTGGTCTCTCTTCTCATCTTGCTCAGTTTGAAAGGTAATTAACACATCTTATTATATTGTTTTGCCTTTCTTTGATTACTGGTAAGATTAAACATTTAAAGATGTTTATTGCTTTTTTTTTCTTTTTGTGAATTTTCTATTCACATCTTTCTTTGGTTTACTGTTGGGATGCTCATCATTTTCATTTTAAGAAATCTTTACATATAGGAGATGTGTGCTTATGTAGCAGGCACAATTCTGGATACTTTAAAATATTAAATCAGCAAATCCTCACAACAGCTCTGTGAGGTATATATCTATATATATCTTAATAATTTCAATTTACAGACAAGGTAATTGTGACACAGAGAGGTTAAGTAACTTCCTTGAGATTTCTCAGCTAGTCAGTGGTAAAGTTGGGATTTGAGTCAGGGCAACTAATCCCCAGATTGCACTGTCATGCATTACAAATTTTCTCAATGTCTCATATGCCTTTAATAATCTGTGAGACCAAGATTTAATCTTTTTTTCTCAAGTTCACAGCTCACCACAGTATCCAGGAACCATCATAGGAAGGCAAAGTGAATTCTTTATTATAACTCAAATTTTAAAGAAATACTGGGTCATGCTTCCCAGGTGGTGCTAGTGGTAAATAACCCACCTGCCAGTGCAGGAGACTAAAAGACTTGGGTTCGATCCCTGGTTTGGGAAGATCCCCTGGAGAAGGAAATGGCAACTCACTCCAGTATTCTTGCCTGGAGAATCCCGTGAACAGAGGAGCCTGATGGGCTATATGATTCATGGGGTCGCAAAGAGTTGGACATGACTTAATTGACTTACCAGCAGCACCTATGCCATGCTAAGTTGCTTCAGTCTTGTCCAACTCTTTGAGACCCCGTGGATTATAGCCCACCAGGCTCCTCTGTCCATGGGATTCTCAAGCAAGAATACTGGAGTGGGTTACCATGTCCTCCTTCAGAGGATCTTCCCAATCCAGGAATCTCTTTTACTTCCTGCACTGGCAGGCAGGCTTTTTACCGCTAGCACCACTTGGGAAGCCCCCTGCAAAAGCAACTCATTCCTTTGGTCTCTATAGTAGTTCTATTTTGTTTTCTTCCATAATGTTTTCCACAGTGACTGTATCAATTTAATTTCCCCCAGTAGTGCATAAAGGTTCTTTGTTCTCCATACTGTCTCCAGCATTTGTTATCTGTGTTCTTTTTGATGACAGTCATTCTCAGAGGTGTGAGGTAGTATCTCATTGTGGTTGATTTGCATTTCTCTGAGGAGTAGGGATGGGGAGCATCTTTTCAGTCCCTGTTGGCCATCTGCCTTTCCTCTTTGGAAAAATGTCTATTCAGTTCTTCTGCCCATTTTTTAATCAGGTTGTTTTTTTTTATTGAGTTGTATGAACTATTTATATATGTTGGATTTTAACTCTTTATCAGTCATATCATTTGCAAATATTTCCTCCCATTCAGTAAGTTGTCTTTTCATTTTATCAATGGTTTCCTTTCCTGTGCAATATCCAAAAAACCCCAAAATCAGTAATTCAAGAAGATACACCCCAGTGTTCATAACAATGTTATTTACAAGTGCCAAGATATGGAAGTAACCTAAGCATCCATCAACAGATGAGTGGATAAAGAAGATGTGGTAAGATGTGGTACATATATACAATGGAATACTACTCATCCATAAAAAAAGAATGAAAATGTACTATTTGCAGCAACATGGATGGACTTGGAGGGCATTATACTAAGTGAAATAAATCAGATACAGAAAGATAAATGCTGTATGATATCACTTTTATGTGAAATCTAAAAAATATAACAAACTAATGAAGGTAACAAAAAAGAGGCAAACTCACAGATATAGAGAAGAAACTAGTAGTTACAATGGGGAGAGGAAAGAGGAAAAGGACAGTATGGGGTGGAGTATTAATAGGTACAAACTATTATGTATAAAATTAACTACAAGGATATATTTAAAACATAGGTTATATAACCAGCATTTTATAATACCTATCAATGAAGCATAGCCTTTCAAAATCATGAATCACTCTATTGTATACCTGTAACTTATATAATATTGCACAGCAACTGCACTTCAATTAAAAAAATAATGAAATAGATTTTTCTTGGACAGTAGTAGAAGATTCCTTGTTGGGTGGATGAAAGTGTTCCTATAGCTTTCTAGACTTCCCAGCTCAGTAGCTCTCTCTCTTATGTATACAAGAGGACTTGATGTAAGGGTGCTCTGCATAGCCACTTCTCTAATTGCCTGATTCCAAAGTCTTCTGCCTCCAGAGCAGTGTGTCCAGATTTCTTCACAGCTCTTAAATCTAAACTGACATAGTCTTTCATTTTTAAACTTACCGTTTAGTAACTAATTCGTGTCCAACTCTGTGACCCCATGGAATGCAGCATACCAGGCTTCCCTATCTTTCACTATCTCCCAGAGTTTGCTCAAAATCATGTCCATTGAGTCAGTGATGCCATCTAGCCATCTCATCCTCTGCTACCCACTTCTCCTCCTGCCCTCAATGGCATCAGGGTCTTTTCCAGTGAACTGACTGTTCTCATCAGGTGGCCAAAGTAGTGGAGCTTTAGCTTCAGCATCAGTCCTTCCAATGAATATTCAGGGTTGATTTCCTTTAGGATTGACTGGTATGATCTCCTTGTTTTCTAAGGTAAACAGACAAGGTAATTATAGATACCATGAGTCTTCTCATGGTGTCTTCTCCAGCACCATGGTTTGAAAGGATCAATTCTTCCTCACTGCCTTCTTTATGGTCCAACTCTCACATCTGTACATGACTACTGGAAAAACCATAACTTTGACTAAGCAGACCTTTGTCTGCAAAGTGATGTCTTTGCTTTTTAATACGCTGTCGAAGTTTGTCATAGCCTTTCTTCCAAAGAGTAAGCATCTTTTAATTTCATGGCTGTCACCATCCACAGACTTAATTTTTAGAGCAATTTTAGTTTTACAGGAAAAAATTAGCAGAAAGTAGAATTCCCAAAGTCTCCCTCTCTTCCAGGCCCACAGTTTCCCCCTATTTTTACTATCTCAAAAGTGTGGTACATTTGTTACAACTGAAGAACCAATGTTGACACATTATTATTAACTCAAGTCCATATAGTTTACATTAAGGTTCTCTTTTTGTGTTGCACAGTTCTATGAATTATGACAAGTATATGTCATTAATCTACCATTTCAATATTATACAGGATAGTTTCACTATCTGAAATATCCCCCAGGCTCTACATATTCAAACTTCTCCTTTCCCTGACCCTGACCCATCCCTGTCTAGAACACCTGGCAGCCTCTGATCTTTTTATTTTCTCCATTGTTTTGCCATTTTGAGAATATCATATCATTGGAATCAGGTAACATGCAGTCTTTGTAGACTATCTTCTTTCACTTAGCAATATGCATTTAAGATTCCTCCAGGTCTTTTCATGACTTGGTAGTTCATTTCTTATCACAGAATAATACTCCATTGTATATATATGCAATGGTTTATCCATCCACCTATTGAGGGATATATTGGTTGCTTCCAGGTTTCGGGAAATTATAAATAAAGCTGCTTATGAACATCTGCACGCATGCAACTGTGTAAGAAATTTTATAGGAAACAGCCAGGGCCTCTTCCAAAGAGGCTGCACATTTTTGCACTTTCATCAGCAATGAATAAGAGTTCCTGTTGCCCCCTGTTCTTCTNCGGAAAAGCATCTACTTCTGCTTTATTGACTATGCCAAAGCCTTTGACTGTGTGCATCACAACAAACTGGAAAATTCTTAAAGAGTTAGGAAGACCAGACCACCTTACCTGTCTACTGAGAAAGCTTCATGTGGGTCAAGAAGCAATAGTTAGAACCAGACATGGAATGATCTGGTTCAAAATTCAAACTGGTTCAAAATTGGGGAGGGAGTATGACAAGGCTGTATATTGTCATCCTGCTTATTTAACTTATATGCAGAGTACATGCATGCTCATTAAGTTGCTTCAGTCATGTCTGACTCTTTGTGACCCTATGGACGATAGCCCACCAGGCTCCTCTGTCCATGGGATTCTCTAGGCAAGAATGCTGGAGTGGGGTTGCCATTTCCTCCTCCAGGTGATCTTCCCAACTCAGGGATCAAACCCATGTCTCCTGTGTCCCCTCCATTGCAGGCAAATTCTTTACCTGCTGATCCACTGGGGAAGCCTCACTAATTATTAGAGAAATGCAAATTAAAACTACAATGAGATATCATCTCACACCAGTCAGAATGGCCATCATCAAAAAAATCCACAAATAATAAATGCTGGAAAGGATGTGGAGAAAAGGGAACCCTCTTTCATTGTTGGTGAGAATGTAAACGGAAACAGCCACTATGGAGAACAGTGTGGAGATTCCTTAAAAAATGAGGAATAAAGCTACCATATAACCCAACAATCCCACTACTGAGCATTCACTCTGAGAAAACCATAATTGAAAAAGAAACATGTACCCCAGTGTTCATAGCAGCACTGTTTACAGTAGCTAGGACATGGAAGTAACCTAGATGTCCATCAACAGATGACTGGATAAAGAAGATGTGGTGTATATATATATATTTATACTGGAATATTACTAGCCATAAAAAAGAACAAATTTGAGTCTGTTCTAGTGAGATAGGTGAACTTAGAACCTATTTTACAGAGTGAAGTAAGTCAGAAAGAGAAAAACAAATATTGTATATTAACATATACATTGGAATCTAGAAAAATGGTATTGATGAGCCTATTTGCAGGGGAGGAATGGAGATGCAGATATATTGAGAGAATGGACTTGTGGGCACAGTGGGTGAAGGAAAGAGTGGGATGAAATAGTGGGAGAAATTAGCATCAACTATATGCACTACCAAGATAGCTGGTACGAAGTTGCTATATAATACAGGGAGCTCAGCCTGATGCTCTGTGATGACCCAAAGGGGTGGAGTCGGGGGAGGGGAGGGAGGCTCAAGAGGGAGATGATACATGTGTAATTATGGTGAATTTGCATTTTTGAATGGTGGAAACCAACACAGCATTGTAAATTTAATATCCTTTTTTTAAAAATTATGTAGAAATGTACAAAGAATTATTAGTTCACAGACTATACAGAAACAGACAATAGGCCATATTTACCCCATATTCAAACTTCGACCATTTTTGTTCTATATCCTTACAGTCTTTTTAATGTACAATGGCAATTTATTCAGTAGAAGTATATTTAAAGTTCTTGAAAGGGTAGAATAGCTTCTTCACTCCTTATCATTTAATCCTTATTTCTTTAAATCTGAAATAATTAAGTCCTTTCATTGTTTTCAGATTTGCTTTTGTATATTTTGAAATATGGTTTTTGATACTTACAAATTTAGAACTGCTTTATCTTTATGAGCAATTTAACATTTTATCAGTATACATGACTTTTTATTCTAGGATTCTGTTTTTTGCCCTATTACTGATTTTATTATAGCTACACCAGCTATTGTTTAGTACTTTCCCAGTATAACTTTTTCCATACTTTATTTTACTTTCTGTGGTTTATGTTTAAAAATGTCTCTTGTGAGCAGTGTGTGTGTGTGTTCACTTGCTTCATTCATGTCTGACTCTTTGCAATCCCATGAAGTGTAATCCACCCAGGCTCTTCTGTCCATTGGATTATCCCATCAAGAATACTGGAGTGAGTTACCATTTCCTCTTTCAGGGGGTCTTCCTGACCAAGAAAACGAACCCCCATCTTATGCAATTCCTGCACTGGCAGGTGGATTCTTTATCACTGAACCACCTGGGAAGCCCCCTTGTGAGCATAAATATCAGTCAGTCACTCAGTCATGTCTGGCTCTTTGCGACCCCATGGACTGCAGCATGCCAGGCTTCCTTGCCTATCACCAACTCCCAGAGTTTTCTCAAACTCACGTAGGTTTATATTTTAAAATTAGATAATTCTGTGTTTTAACCGGAGATTTTAGGCTACTTATTGCATGCCATATTTCTGGAAATATCTATGTGTTGTCCTCATTCTTAAAGGAGCTTTCTAGGCTACTCAGTGGTAAAGAATCCTCCTGCCAATGCAGGAGACACAAGTTGGATCCCTGATTCAGGAAGATCCCTGAGAGAAGGAAATGGCAACCCACTCTAGTATTCTTTCCTGGGAAATCTCATGGGCAGAAGAACCTGGTGGACTGAAGATCATGGGGTGGCAAAAGAGTCGGACATGACTTAGCAACTAAACAACAACATTCTTGAAAGATAATTTCACTAGGTATAGAATTATAGACTGACAGGTATTTCCTCTTAGTATGTGGACAATAAAGAACTGAAGAGTCTCTTGATGAAAGTAAAAGAGGAGAGTGAAAAAGCTGGCTTAAAATTCAGCATTCAAAAAACTAAAATCATGGCATCCAGTCTCATCACTTCATGGCAAATAGATGGAGGAACAATAGAAACAGTGAGAGACTTTATTTTTGAGGCTCCAAAATCACTGTAGACGGTGACTGCAGCCATGAAATTAAAAGATATTTGCNTCCATACATGACTACTGGAAAAACCATAGCCCTGAGTAGACAGACATTTGTTGACAAAGTAATGTCTCTGCTTTCTAATATGCTGTCTACGTTGGTCATAACTTTCCTTCCAAGGAGTAAACGTCTTTTAATTCCATGGCTGCAGTCACCATCTGTGGTGGTATCAGTTTCTTTTTATTTACCCAAATGAGACTATATTGAGCTTCTTGAATATGTAGATTAGTATGTTTCATTGGTTCTGGAACTTTCTGAATAATTATCTTTTTAAAGTATTGTTTCTGATCCATTTCTCTCTCCTCTTCTTCTGTAATTCCAATTAAACTTATGTTAGAGAACTTTTACCTCTCTTTCATTGCTTCTGTTACATTGGCTCTTTGAGTTTCATTCTAAATAATTTCTACATGTCTATCTTTCAGTTCTCTTTTAGTCCTCTGGAAATACTAATATGTCCAATTTAAGTCTTAGGGTAATGGAAAGGCTTAGCTAAATGTATCTTTCTTCTTTGGTTCCCCCTGTTAGTTGAGTCCACATCTTACACCAAGATCCATGCCCTGTTTCACATTTCATGGTCTAAATCTAAACAACCTCCCTGGAGACAACAATCCTTCACTATCTTTTTTGCAATTTTTTTTTTCTCAGTCTGAATTTACTTCATCACTGAGACTTGACAATACAGGCAGATCTTGTCTACAGATTACTTGTTACTTATACAAGTAGAGTAAATCTACCTTGGTAGAGGAACTAAAAGAGATAGAGATAGAGATTATAGATAGAGATAAAGATAATATTTACAGGGTTCCATGTGAGTTTCTTTGGTTCTGTCTTCTTATTCCAATTGAATGGTGGTGGGTAGGGGTTGAGAGGGATGTGTGTATCAGATGGTTTTAAGTGTAGTAATTAAACTGGACAAATCCTCTCCATGTGAGAGGCCAATGATATGCTTGATTGGTAATGTTCTCCAGATCCAGGGCTGAAGAGAGATGTTTCCTGGAACTGAAATATGACGAAATTAGGGGAAATAAGAGTTAAAATTATACTCTATCATACTAGAGTATAATAAGTCAAAGAAAAAGAACCTTAAAGCTTGGCAGATACATAGGAGAAAATGTAGACTTTAAAAAGCTGGGTACAGGGCTCCAAACCTGGAATCTGGGGAGAGGTAAGCAAGACTTAAAAGACTTAAAATTAATTATCATTAATTGATGATAATGTGTATTGCTCCATAGACAGTGAGCTTTCTATGCATGTGTATATTTGTGGGAGGTGATGGGAATCCAGACAAGGTTCAAGTGCCAATAATAAGATATTCATAAACTGATTTTTTTCCTACTTGAGAAATAATATAACTGATGACCACCACTTGGATTTTCTGTGCAACAGTGTCTGAGGTAGCCTACACTGTATTAAAACTTAATGAATAATTCTATGTAAGTGATATTATAGTTAAACTGTTGTATTTGATTTACTTGAACTCCCACAGGAAAAATTCAGAAAAATCAGTCATCTATGGCACATAAAAATGAAAGCCATGAACCTCCCCCAGAAACAGTTCAAACAATAACTCCTATGGATGTTCACTTAGGCACCTGGTTTACAACTACACCTCAAGGAAATCGGATTGGCACCAAAGGATTAGAAAGAATAGCAGACTTGGCCCCGTTTTTATCCTTTAAAGCCACAGATCCTGTCAATGGAACGGTATGACAAACTATTGTATATTACAATTTTTTCTAAATCTTTAGAGTTGTAAAACAACATGTGGAAGAATGCCTGGCAAATAATAAATTTTCAATAACTATCTGTTAAGTAGCTGACTTATGTATAAATAGATGGATTCATCTTTCCAAATCTAAAACTACTGTGTGGTTTATTTGACCAGAGTAATGTATCATGAAATACTAATTCTTGAAGTAAGAGACAGATGATGGATTTTCTATTCTACTTTTAAGACATATGATTAGTGATATCCTATATTTCTTTATGTTAAATGCGTTTGTCTGTATGTCTTATATTCTAGACATGTGGGGCTCTGCCTTGTGTCTACTTCTCGTGTGTACCTGACATGAATTGTAGAAATTTGTTCATGATCCTTGACTTCAAATAATGTACAGTATATTTAATGAGATGCTCATATCAAATAACTCAAAAATTCAACAAGGCCGCAAAGCCTCTATGAAAAGATTTTATTTATAACCTAAGAAAAAGTGACATATGAGTGGTATAGAAAACAATGGTTTTATCTGTGAAGCAGATGTGAAATTTAAACTCCTGGGATGCACAATAGCATTTTCTGTGGGCCAGGCTTTCTGTTAGCCATCTTGCATACACGCTCTATTGCATACACCAATGTATATTATACAGACAAGGAAGGTGAGCCTCAACAAATGAAGTAATGTGGCCAGGAAGTGTTGGAACCAGGTTTGCAGTCAGCGATTGGTGACTAAAAACTGGGCTGTCTGCATTCTTCAGCTGTTCCTCTATCATCTCACATGGAGCTTTGCACCCTCTAAATCTAAACAAGACAAAGAATTTCCTGCATGCGTTGTCTCTAGTTTTTGGACTTTACCTTTGTTTACAACCACATACTTCTAGTCAGAAGCAGAATGTCTGCTTCCCACTGACATAAATTTCATTTTCTTACCAAAGGTGTTTTCCTTTCTTCTTCAGCCTACTTCTGTAACAATTTCATATTCTTCTACCTTGTTTGCTAGTTCTTTTTTATGAGATCAAACTACATATTATCTCAGGATGGCTTTTGGTCACTTAAAATAGCTCACTTTAATTGAGCCTCAATACAGATTATTTGGCTTAATATGAAAATTTGATATTTCTTAGTTAATGACCCTTACTTTCTTTTACTGGCGGTGGTGGTGGTTAAGTAACTAAGTCATGTCCAATTCTTTGCGACCCCATGGATTGTAGCCTGCCAGACTCCTCTGTCCATGGTATTTCCCAGGCAAGAATACTGGAGTGGGTTGCTATTTTCTTCTCCAAGGGATCTTCCTGACCCAGGAATTGAACCCAGGTCTCCTGCATTGGCAGGCAGACTCTTTTCCACTGAGCCACCAGGGAAGCCCCTTCCTTTACTGATATCTAGGACCATTATGGAAGCACAAATCGACATTTAGAAGCCTGGATTTAAACATAGACACTCAACAGTCTAATCACAACAATGGTAATAATATTTACTGAGCACTCACTGTCCCAGGCCTTGTTGAGTGCTTTCCACACATAACTTATCTAATTCTCACAAGAAACTATTGCTGTTTCCATTTTACATATGAGACAAAGAAGCTACAAACAGGCTAAATAAATTTTCCAAACTCACTCAGCAAATGGTATATGCAGAATGTGGACCCCAAGGTTGCATTCTAGGTCTCATATGCTTAACCATTATGCAAACAAAAGCCAATGATCATATGAAATAAGATCAAAAGTGACATGAAGTATCACATTTTACAGGAGTGGCACTAACCTTGCAGTGAGGCAGCCATGGCTTTGAACCCCAGTCACGCTTCTTACAAGATGCATGACTTTGACTATTTCTAATCTAGGTTTTCTTATTCCTAAAATGAAGATTATGGTCATTACCTAAAATACTTGGGAAGATTAATACCAGATTAACACTATCAGGTGTTAAAGAAATATTCTTGCTGTTGTGTTCTTTCTACCACTAAAAATGATTATTTCCTGAGCCTATGGTGACCATCAATGTTACGTCATGAAATGTTAGAATTGTTCTAAGTTATAATCTGTAAATTTCTATACTAGATAAAGAGCTAGTATTTAGCATTACTAACTTGACCAATTAAATGTGAATGGCTTTACAAGCATTCTCTCATTTAACCCATATAATGTCTCTGAAAAATATGTTGATGTTGGCTGCATTTTGCAGATCAGGAAACTAGAACACAGAGAAAGTAGGCAGCTTGCCTAAATGACCTTTGGAGTCAGAAATTGAACTTGGGCAGCTTAACTCCAAAGCTCATGTTCTCAATCCTGCATTCTACAGCAGTATTCCTCATTACATACATAGATAGATGGATATATAGATGGATATATATAGATATACACATCTGTATCATTGCTGAGAGTGTGAAAGAGAAGAACTTAATGATTAGCATGAACTTCTTTCTGAAGTAGGCAGAATATTGTATTCTGCCTACCATAAAAAGATACAAATGTAATTATCATCTTCTCCCAAAAGCCCTAGACACTAGTCAGAAAACAGCTAGCAAACTTCATATTCATCTGGACTCTTTAGTGAAAACTGTGTCCCTTACAGTTGGGGCAGTACAAGGTAGAAAGTACTCAATGATTTTAAAATATGCATTGTTGTTGTTCAGTCGCTAAGTCATGTCCGACTCTTGGTGACCCCATGGGCTGCAGCACACCAGGCTTCCCTGTCCTTCACTATCTCCCGGAGCTTGCTCAAACTCACGTCCATTGAGTTGGTGATGCCACCCAACCATCTCATCCTCTGCCGCCTTCCTCTCCTTTTGCCTATAATATGCATTGTACAACTGTAGTGCATTGTTGCCAGTTGGGATCTGCAGTGTACAAGATGTTTTTAAGAGGCCCCATTTGTGAAAGGAAGCAGGGGGGAGGCAGGAATGGGCAGAGAGAGAAGCCGAGTTATGGTGCAGACACCCCAAAGCCCCACTGGCAGGAGCTCAGGGGCCAGTGTCATCCGTCCCAGTGTCCCAAGTCGGGGAGCAGGAGCCAGATCCGTGTACCTCTGCCTCAGCAGAACAGTGGGAGTCAGGCAAGGCATCTCTCTGCAGTTGAGGCAGGCGCTGGAAGAGCTGACATCTGGAGGCTGTTTGCCAACTTCCCTCTCCACTGCTGGGGAGCAAGTCCTGTCTTGAAGAGAGACCTGGGCAGTGCATCTCCATGCCCACCACACCTTCACACACACATGTGCAGCTGGGGGTTTAGAGCTCCTCTGAACCATTTGGCTACAGGAAACAAAGGTCTCAGTGTTCTTTCAAATTGAAGCACTTATTGGGACTAAATTCTTTCTGTGTTTCCAGCTCTAGTCCACATACCTAAAACTCTTCTCTACTGCTTCGCCCCACTTGGATAACAACTGAGTCCTTAATATGACTTAACAGGCTTCCCAGTATGGTCCCTCACCTTCTAGCCTTGCTCCCACCACTCTGTCCATTGGTCTCTGAGTTCTCTTGTGTCCAGCACACCTTTCATCCATGCTTCCCTGTACCAACCTTTCACCCCATAGTTCCCCGTACCAACACACAATATCCAGGCTCTGGCATTGCATCCTCAGGGGAAGCAGACCACATCAGAACCCTCACTACAGATACCAGTGGTCCCTGGCTTATCTTAAACCTGCAGTTTCCAAGGGGGAAGGGCCTGGGGTCATCTTCCTGCATATACCTGGGTCAGATCACTCCTGACATTAGCTTTTGACTCACAAATGTGTGACCATGGAAGGAGCATCAGTGTTGAAGTAAGGCAGTCTTAGTCCAGCATCAGCTCTGGCACATGCTGAGTGACTTTGGGCAAGTTGCTTAACTGCTCTAAGCCTGAGTTTCCTCCAGGATTGTTATAAAGATTAGATCAAGTAGATGAGGTAAAACTTTCACTTTTAAATAATCAGGCTTTTGATGGTAATCATCGGGGTGTAAAAATAAGCAAACTTGGGACTAACCAACCACCTGAGCAAATGATGATGCTCTGCCTTTGTATGTTCAGGTTATGACAACTCGAGAAGACAAAGTGATCATCGTTGAAAAGAAAGATGGTACTCGGATAGTGGATCATGCTGATGGTACCAGAATCACAACCTTTTATCAGGTTTATGAAGACACTATTTCTTCGGAGGATCAAGAGACAGGTAAGCTTTAATTTTTCTGGTGGACGACATAGAGTCTCAAAGAGTTTGACACGACTGAGCAGCAGCAGCAGACGGTTGGTTAATATTATTGTGTTTCAGGTGCATGGCAAAGTGACTCAGTTGTACATATACGTGTATTTATTCTCTGTCAAGTAGATGACAATATTCTATGTCTTTAGGATACGTAAAAACTTCACTGATTTTTCAAAACACTTGTAAGAAAAGCAGGTTTTGTTTTTTTTTAAGAACTCAAATTAACCAAAGAATACCCAGGCAGTTAAACCAGAACCAGTGAGGACCTTTATTATGGTCTTTATCCTCAGCTGACATGGGAGTGATAACAGCTCTAGTTGGCTAATGGATAGTAATAGTGCTTTCCCTATTTTTACCACTAAAAATCTACAACCTGGATTGGTATTAACTAAAAGTTAATAATCATGACTCAACTGTACTGAGCAATTAGATTTCAGACCTGTTTCCTTTGATCCTTAAAGAATCTAATTTTCCTACATAGACTTCAGATATGTCCTCCTTCAATTCTGTCTGACAGTTCTCAGAAAAGCAAGTGGCAGCTGCTGATGAACTGGAGTCTGTTCATATTATCTAAAAGCCTAACACCCTTCCTAAGCTAAATTTAAACAAGATTTTGAAATAAAAATTATTCCCTGATTCACTTTTGTTTAATTCTAGGGTTTATTTGTTGAATGCATTAAATGATTCATTGCCAAATTAAATGCAACAAAATGGCAAGTGAGTTGAAAGAGAGGAACCTTTATACCCTGTTAGAGTGAAAATTTAAAAAGCCACTTGGGTGGGCAATTTTAAAATATCTGGTGAATTGAAAAGTGCATATCATGTGATACACTAATTCTCCACCTGGGTATATATAGAAAGATACTCTTTTGTTTTGTTTTTATTTTTATTGGGTTATAGGGGATGGGTTGGGAAATATCTCTGCAAGTCAATTCCCCACTAGAGAAATGTCCATTCTAATTTTCCTGGGATAGCTTTCAAAGCTTTTTCCTTTCCTTGGGAAAGACACTCATACTTTTGCACAAAGAAACAAGTACAGAGATGCTTCTTGCAACACTGAGTATAATGCTAAAATATTGGGAAAGCATAAATGTCCATTGACAGCAGAACAGAAAAATAAAATGTGGTTTATTCTTACAAAGGGATACTATGTAGCAATTAAAATAAATGAACTACCCACACATGTACCTATTTACATAGGCACATATATATCAAGATGGCTAAAGGCCTCAAAGCATTAAGTGAAAAATTCAAGTGTGTGTCAGTTCAGTCATTTTCAATTCTTTTGCGACCCCATGGACTGTAGCCCACTAGGCTCCTCTGTCCATGAAATTCTCCAGGCAAGAATACTGGAGTGGGTAGCCATTCCCATCTCCAGGGGATTTTCCTGACCCAGGGATCAAACCCAGGCCTCCTGCATTGCAGGCAGATTCTTTATTGTCTGGGCCACCAGGGAAGCCCAGTAGTGTGAAACACAAGGTGATATATAACTTAGGCAAATTTAAAGCAACAAAATATTTCTGATATACATTTATATAAAAGTATTATAGTGGATTGTGAGAAAAAGAAATTAACTCAGAGATAGGGAGAGATGTGAACTTTACCTGTAACTTCTCTCTCATGTACATGTTAAAAATGAAGCAAATATGGCAAAATATTAATGAGTGTAAATTTTGATTGGCAAACATGTATAGTTAAATTATATTTTGTGCTTTTCTGGATGTTTTCAATTTCTCAAAATAAAAAGAACAGTGAGGACAAAAATAGCACATTATATTAATATGCCTTCTCAAACAAAGGCTCCGAGTTGATAGAGCAGTAGCCCATGAAGCAGCCCCATGGAGTGAGTTCTCAGCCAGGCAGTCAGCAGGCAGGTGTGTTCCCCTCGTGTGCATCCTGTCGGACCTGCCCCTCTGCATTTGCCCACAGCCGAAGGTCCCCAGAGGATCACCAGGCAGGTGAAGTGCATGCGGATTGAAAGCTTGCACTACGCCACTGTCATCACCAACTGCGAGGACAGTAGCTGCTGCGCCACCTTTGGGGATGGGACGTCCATCATTGCAAAGCCACAGGGAACGTACCAGGTGAGTCTGAGCAAAGTGAGCGGTGCCAAAGGGGAGTGTCAAAGTGTGTTTCTGACTTTTGGGAAAGCACTCCCATCTGGGGCAGTGAACATTCCCGCCACGTGCATGGCTGTTGCTCTCATCTCAACTGATCTTAGAACACACTTCTCAATGTCTTTTCATTTATTTACTTTCTTTTCAAAGTCCATCGCAGAAAATCAGTGTCCTCCCTGCCTTTCAGTACTTTGGGATCTGGGGATCACAGTTATGCTCCAGAGTGTATTTGCCGGGGATCATTTAGTGGTGGGTGAGGGGCACTGTGGGTGTTAGGAGCCCTCAGTGTTGCCCTGTCCCTTCCAGACCAGCTTCACCTCCTGCCTCCTCTTACTCATTCTCACTCTCCCACCCTTCCCACCTCCAGTCTGTCCCCACTTTACCTCGTGTCCCCACGGGATGGGAGGACACATGCGTTCTATGTGGTCTCGGAGGAGAACTAGCCCAAGTGAAGCACAGCTGTGTCTTTGGAGGGCTGGGGAGGAATGCTGTTAGCAACTCCTCCACCTCCTTGCATTTCCCCCTTAAACACAATGCCCCTGGCTCAGCCTGCAGTCCCCTGGTCTTAGAGGGATTTGCCTTTGCCTTTCTACTTTCTGGCGAAGGGACACAAGTGCCAAGATGTCACCTCTAAGGTCACAGGATACCAAGGGTGCAAAGCCAGAAGGTGATGGACAAAGACTTCCGTAACAAATGTTTGTTACTGTGAAGGCTACTGGAACCAGTTTATCCCTCCCTTCTCTCCTGATTCTCCCTCTCGTACTGTGCAGATCCTTGTGGGACAAGCAAGGTGCTGAAAGTGAGAGATGACCAAAAGAGGCTTGGTCATGGATGCTTTTTTCCCTATATAGCATTCAGAATATCCAATTAAAAAAAAAACTTTTTTATTTTGTATTGAGGTATAGCTGATTAACAATGTTGTGATGGTTTCAGGTGAACAGAGAAGAGACTCAACCTTACATATACATGCATCCTTTCTCCCTCAAACTCTCCTCCCATCCAGGCTGCCACATAACATTTAGCAGAGTTCCTGTGCTATCAGAATGCTCAATTTTTAAGAAAGCATCCATATTTCAGTACTGCGTGTCCTACCAGATGTCATAAGAATCTCCAAAGATGCTATGATGAGGCCTTATTGTCATCATAGCCCTAGACTCTGCTGGTTACAACTATAGGGGCAAATAAATCTTAGCACGAATGTAAGTTACCACTGAAGGAAGAGATGTAATAGAAAAGAGATCCAACCTGGAGACATTCAGTGTCTGATACAGTTGTGTAGCCTCATGTTTGCCCACTTCTCCTGAAACATTGATTGCACCTCATTGAGAAACACACATATCTTAGCTCCCAATTGGGGGAAGAAACTCCAAATAAGCTTAGCAACATTTATTTTATAGTTCTATTAATTTTATAGAGTTAAAGCCGGCATTCACAAACACCTTCTGCCCATCCTCATTGGCCTTGGCACATGTGTCGTTACTTACTCACCAGCATGAGGACACTGGGCAGTGTGACGAGTGAGGCTGGATATTAGGCAATGTGAAAGAGAGAGAGCTTGGTTTTGGCCACTGCTATACTTTAGCAGCACTAAAAAGATTAATGAAAACATCAAGGAGGAGGTAGGTGTAACAGCTATTATTGTCTATGATTATAGTGTTTCACAACTGGGGGTGGGGACATCCACCCAGCTGGAAGGTTTCAGAGAGACAAGATGACAAATAATGGGTCTGTTGTCTCCCATGGGAAATCTTCCTCTGTCCTTGGGTCTAGGAACAGAAACCTGTTTCCCTAGACCAGAAGATTGAGTGTCTTCCTGGGGAAAGGGGTGCACACATGCACACTGGAATAAGATTTTAACTACTCGTCTATACCAATCTGAACTTGACTCCTCTGGGAGAAGTTAAAGAAATGTAATAAGCACTCTTAGTAATACTACTGAAAAGGACTTCAAAGGCCCTTTTCCCTATCAGCAGTACCATAGACAAATGTCATAATGGAGGGAGGCTTATCCTCTACTCAGTGCGTGAAATCAGTTAAAAGAGGAAAATTTTATATTAAACTCTGAGCAGTATAGGTATGCAAAATCATGCAAATTCTATTTGCCAGCTGGCTGCTCTATTGAAGACACTATGTACGTATATATATGAGTTACTGTTGTATTTGTCATGTTGAATTTATATGTTTCAGCAAAGCTGTTTTTCCAGGCTAACTTCCTAGAAGGAAAGCCATCTCCTTTTTACAGGTTTTCTTTTTGGCTTTTCTAGATGGTGCTTCACCTAGTGTATATGTCTCAATTCTGGGAATTTTAGGCGATCTTTTTCTGTCCAGAGCAGCTTTTAGTAAATTACAGTCAATCTGACATATTAAAAAGCAGAGACATTGCTTTGTCAACAGAGGTCCACCTAGTCAAAGATATGGTTTTTCCAGGAGTCATGTATGGTGTGAGAGTGGGACCATGAAGAAAACTGAGCACTGAAGAATTAATGCTTTTGAACTATGGTGTTGGAGAAGACTCTTGAGAGTCCCTTGGACTGCAAGGAGATCCAACCANAAAAAAAAAAAAAAAAAAAGACAATCTTGGGAAGAACAACAAGAATTGTGGTGATTTCACTTGCTGCATTCCTCTCCCCTCCCCCAGCTCCAAGGTAGCCTTGAACATCAACACTCTACATGCATGATAGCAGTGAAAACCAGCAGGCCAGCAGCCACTGAAAAAAGAATAGATCCAGAGCTCCCCAAAACATCCATAACAAAATGTTGTCATTTTCTGTCTGTCTGTCCATTTTCTAGAAACCTCTATTCAACAAGGGTTGTCTTTATTTGGTCTGATTCTGAACTCACTCCCTACATACAAATAGACTTTTCCCCAAATGGAGGTGATAATTGAACACTATAGCTATTGAAGTAGCGACAAAAAGCAAGAGTCTAAACAAAAGAGTTAGAAGGGAAAAGAGGATGAGAAGTTCATAGAGGGCTTTGAAAAGCTCTGACATGTTCTCTGGAATCTTGAAAGCCACGCTTCTGTGAAGAGCTATGAACATGCCCATAAAAGGACTCAGAAAGCCCTGATTTTTCACTCTTGCTGATCCAGAAGCTCTGCACAAACAGGGAGTGAAGGGTAAGGTGGAATCACAAACTTCCTACCACAGCATTGAAAACATTTGTCAGTATGCACATAGAGCCCACATAGCCCTCAGCAGAGGCTGAAAGATCTATTAATGCAAAGTACCTAAGAAAATATCTGCCCAGTTATGAGGAGAACTCTAAGCCTAACAAGCAGATTAGGCCCACGCATGACAAATATAAACTCTAAAGAAATGGTTCAGGGGAATCACTGAACAAATAGCAACAACAACAGAAGTAACAGTAAGTCCTCGGGCAAGGATCTAATTTCCAGAGTTGTACATAATACTATTTTAAAATATCCAGTTTTCAACAAAAAATTATAAGACCTGGGGGAGTGGGAAAGGGGGGAATTTTGGCCCATAAACAGGGATGGGAAAGGAGGAAGCAATCAATAGAAACCATCCCTGTGGAAACCCAAACTTTGCGTTTAAAGAGACAAATTTAAGTCAGCTGTTATGTTTTAAAGAGCAAGAAGCCTTGTGTAAAGAACTAAAGCAAAATATGAGAATGATGCTTCATGAAGTATAGAATATCAATACATAGAAATTATTTTTTAAAAGAACCACATAGAAATTCTGCAGTTGGAAAGCATAATAACTGTAATGAAAAATTTGCTAATGAGGCTCAACATCAAATTTTGGCTGGCAGAAGAAATAATCAGCAATTATTTGAACTGACTTGAAAATAGGTCAGTTGAGATTAAGTAGTCTGGGGGAGAGAGAGAAAAAGGAACCAAGAAAAATGAACAGAGTCTCAGAGGATACCATCAAACATACTAACATATGCATAATGAGAGTCTGAGAAGGAATAGAGAGAAGGGAAGAAAGATTATTTGAGGCAATAATGGCTTAAAACTTACCAAGTTTGATTAAACTATCTACAATTGCAAGAAATCTCAACAAACTTCAAGTAGGATAAACTCAGAGATTCACACCTAGACACATCACAGTCAAATTGTCTGAAGACAATGTCTCACAAGCAATGAGAAAAGGCTCATCAAATATGAGAGATCTCAAAAACAAAAGAAAAGAAAAACCCCAAAGCAGTGTTGTTAATCAACTATATCATAATAAAAATTTTTTTAATTGAGGTATCCAATAAGACTAATAGCTATTTTCTCATCAGAAAACGTGGAGTCAGAAGGCAGTGAGATGACATATTCAAAATGCTTAAAGAAAAAGATCATCAACCAAAAATTCCTCTTTTCAATAAAATTATCCTAAAATCAAAGAAATTAATATAGTTCCAGGGAAACACAAACTGAAAGAATCGTTGCTCTTAGACATTCCCTACAAGAAAATCTAAAGAGAATCCTTCAGGCTGAAACAAAATAATACTACATAGCAATTCAATTACACATAAATAGTACTGGTAAAGATAACAGTATAGGTAAATATAAAAGACAGTATACATGTATTTTTGTGACCTTTTTTTTGTTTAAAAGGCAACTACATAAAACCACTATTATAAACCACTAAAACCACTATTATAAAAGTTTATTTATGTGCTTATAATGTATAAAGATGTAAGTTTTGACAATAACACAAAGAAGGAAAAGAGCTACATGGAGCAAAAATTGTGTATAATAGTGAAATGCTTAGTATCAATCCAATCTATACAGTTATAAATTAAGATGTTAATTGTAATACGCAAGAGACACTGAGAAAATAACTCAAAAATATATAGTAAAAGAAACAAGGGAATTAAAATGACACACTTGAAAATAACCTATTTAAAACAAAAGAAGGCAGTAATGGATGACTAGAAGGGAAACCAAAGACATAAGACATATAGAAAACTGGAAAATGCAAATCTTTTTTAAAAAAATTCTTTATTTTATG